TGTTGCTATGGCCACTTGAATAATAATACATCCCATCCGAGTGATCCACACACAGTCTTATTTCAGAGAAAGTTAAGTCGCCCAAGAGAAAGAAGGTGTCCAAAGCTGTGAAAAAGCCACTGTATTCGGTTTATGGATAGCTGCGCAATCCCGACGAGATGGCTGCACGTTTTCGCAGCGTTATCGATAGCGTTACCTTTTCAGATATTTTGCTGCACAGAGCTATGTGGCGAGACTACTGTAACAGTAACCTTCGCCATATTGACAGTAATGATCTCTACGTTCCAGTCAACACGTACTCGACAGGGGGTCGGAACATCCGGGTAGTCTCGACAAGTCAATTGGAAGGTTTCCATGCTGGACTGAAGAAGCTGGTGGCTCGCCCTGTCTCGGCAAGGCTTGGTCTTCGCATCCTTGACATTTTTATTGTGCAACATATCCTTCGAATTGAAGCAGAGTTTGGTCGAAATCCAGACTTCGGCGCGCTAGATTTTGTTTCACTAGCTCAAGCTGCTATATGGTCTCGTGGAGCTTTGCCAGCGTCACCACAGTTGTCGTTTGTGCTTCATATTCTATCTGAACAACTAGAGGGGCCGCAATATCGATCGGCATCCTCCTCTACCTCAGTAGCGACCAAGAAGTTGGATAGGAACACATTTATGGCGTCACTTAATCTACACGAGAACAGTTACGAGCCGTCCGCGGGGTTCACTGCGCAAGAGTATGAGTTGCTTCGCCAAATTTAAGCGGAACAAGCTCGCGAAGAGTGTTCATGGTCCAAATGTTTGTTGATAACAAAAATTATGTACAACCTGGTCGTGGCGAAGAACCCGAACACTCCGTTACAACTGCGTCGACGTAGGTACTGAGCAACAACTACGAAGATTGCGTCCCTATCCAGTCAAAAAGCTGAAGCGATCAACCCTTCCAGCTCCCGTATCAACCTTTTCGCTCTTCGCCAATCTAGTTCCGTGACTGTTACCAACACGTTCTACAAGCAAGCCTAGACAGTATGCTGCTTGGGACCACTTACGCGATCTGTGCCACTGAGTCCAGGACTTTCTTGCCTCAACACTTGAAACTCAGAGCTCGCGGAGCTGCTGACCGAGGAGTTGTTGGTGCAGAGCTGCAGGAATTAGATGGTCGGGGCCGACGGTGCCAAAGTCAGTAACGTGGGTTCTCTCAGTGATTTTGGTGCTTGGCGGGACGTTAAGTGGGACAATGGACCGGTTACAAAAGCGGTCGCGACCGGTTTCTGAACGGTCGCTCAGTAGGGGGACAAGCCCCAGTATTGGTGACCCCCCCCTTCATTGCTACCAGATCACTCACGCAATCCAAAGCGAGTAACCTGGGTCGGGAAGGCCATTAACGTCGACGACGTCACGGTAGACACGCCATGGTGAGGACGCTCAAATCGTTTCACATTGATAAAAGTCAATCGATGGTCTGGCTATTTGTCCGGAGGCTGCACATAAGATGCGTTACCGCTTGCTTGTGTGCAGCTCCCAGGCGACCAGTGAGGCGAGCTCAATCAAACGCGCGTGGCAAGGAAAGATCATGACGTACCTGGAGACCGACCACGCCTCATTCTCCGAGTACAGCGACCACAACACTTTTGTGGCAACGTCTCCAAGGCGGAAGAAGCCCACGCCATCGCGGATGACCTACTACCGGGAGCTCGCGGAGAATCATTTGTGATCTATGCGCATGAAGAATGCATAAGTTCGCAAATTTTCAATCCCGCTTGATGACCTCCCGGTATTGAAGACACTTTATAATTTCGTGAACCACTAAGGGTGACTCAAGATGGAAACCATGACCGCGTTAGCGAGGTGAGAATATGGATCCACCAGCTCGCTTACGACGGGTCAGAGACGATGACACAGCCCTTCACTTTGGGCTGGGAGTTGGACAACACTGGTAAGCCTATTGTAGGTAACGGCTTCGACGAGAAGTCATTCATAGGTGGCCTCTCGATGAATGCGTTGGTGGTGAGGTTGATGGTGCCCCCGCAGAGCTTTATATAGACGCGACCTACAAGCCAAGCAGCTACGCTGTACTAGTGGTGGGAATCTCGGACGGACCGCGCAGATTGCATTTGGTTACTCTCTTCGTTATTTCTCAAGAAACGCAGTTAGCTTCTCAAGCAGCTCTACTGGCACTGCGTAGGCGGTACCACTGGATCACAAAACATTTGACAATAAACTACGCTATGGCTGACGGCGATAATGATCAAAACAATGCTTCGTATGCAGTATTTAGACAGAACCCAGCGTACTTTTCTTGATGTGCTACTTCCACGTCAAGAAGAAGATGCAAGAGCACTTTAAACGATTTTCCTCGTGTGCACAGGCTTCTAGTTTACGTGATATATACGACATGCACTTTGCTAAGTCACATGCGGCCTATTTGCAACTGAGGGAGACAACTTTGAATCGGTGGGTCAAAGAAGAATGGATAACCCTTTTGCAACGTACATGTGTGGTCAATGGTTGAGTGGTCTATTCACGGGCGGACAGGCCTACATCACTCCCACCGGATTTGCGACCACGAACAACCCGGTGGAGACTTTCAACGCAGTTTTGATACGCGATTACACTTTACGAAGGCGTTGAAGATGGTCACTCTGCTCTGAGAGCTGGTCGCCTGTTGCCAGAACCACCCTAGATCGTGCAAGTGTTCGCGTACGGAGTAGTCCCGAATCAAACGCTGGTGCGTCGTGTCTCGGAGCTACTCCGAGCGAAAACAGTTGGGGTCAAATTGTCGAGAGCGTGAGCTCTGGGACTGAGTCTGTGGTCCAAGTAGTGTCCATGCTAATGTCTCGCGTTGTAGTGGCGCCGAATAAGCGCAGCGATAAAAGGGTTGTGGTCTCAGCGCAAATGGGGGCTAACTATGCCCGCATGGGGTGGATAGACAGCCGTGAAGTGGATGGTCTGTGGACATGGAGCAGCAGTCGTGTCCTGTGGGTATTGTATTGATTCGCGTTCGGCTCGCGTATACACGTGCTCGTTGCTTTACGATCGGGTGCGTACGTCGACAGCAGAGGTAGAGACATTTTAGGTAGCCGTCGGAAGCGTAAGCGGAAAGGTGTCGCCGTGATTAACAACGCAGGCCGCCCTTGACTGAACTGGACAGCTTTGAGCTACAATTGAGGCCGAGGTCAAGTTGGCATTATTAATAACGATGTTTTTCCGTTTTGAACGTTTTGTGGTTCCTTTACGTGCAAAATGTGAAGCATTCGTATCTGTTCGATTTGGATAGGTCCAACGATCGAAAAAAAAAAAATTTTATGAAGCGTGGGATAGACAAATGAGATGGTATCGCATCCGTGTGCAGCACACGTCAGGGAAAATTTTACGAAATTGATTCTTCGTGGCGACAAACGCACACTTTCAGATAAGCTTATTTCATCAAATATCTAAGGTACCCCCCCCCCTCCCACCCAATCTATACACACTGGGCGTCCCTTGGTCTGCATAAAAGCAACGCATTTACCGTACTGGTATGCCTCTTGATATACCGATAAGGACCATTCTGCAGGATGGGCACTAAAAATATTGGTATATCAATACAAATCCGGTACAAACAAAGCGAAAGGGTTGCTAGTGACAAGATGTAGGCGAACCGCTTAGTTTTATGGCTGACGTCAAGACGAATCTACTCCATTACGGAAGCTCATCAGTACCGCATAATTGATAGAGGGAATTTTTTGAACTAGACCCACTTAAGATGTATAAATTGCTTTCAGCCTCAGTTTAACCTAGCTTCTTCCAACGTCATCAAGCTTATTTTACTGTTTTGCGTACTCTGGTAGGAGATGCTGAAAGGCAAATACATGCGCGTGATATCTCTCAAGGAAATACTACCAAACCGAATAATCGAATTGAAATTGGCTCCTTCCAGAACACAGAGCAGATGCTGCGAGACAGGTGTAGTAGATACGTATTTCAGGGTCATGTTTTATTTTATATTTCAAAGATCTGTACGGCATTGTCAGCCAAAGCACCGGCGCATTAATTGCTACCTCGTCCTAGATACCAGAACTAGCGATGCCCGTTCGTCCTCAGCATCACACCCTCGCTATGTTTGCGAGCATATAACGTTTTAGCACTCATAGGATTGATAATAGTACCTGTTAGATTGCTACAGTATTTTCTGGCGTATCCTTCATACGTGGTCATGAGGAGGTACTTGCTTGTTTCAGATCCTATCCCAGCCTCACATATCCCTTGCAAAACGACCGATAATTGAACTGCAAACTATTAAAAGCCCCCGTGGATTAGATCCCTCCATTCAGAATTGGTGAGTTTGAGAAGGCTCAAATTTTTCAGTGAAATCCATTAATCTACATATTTTCCACATATAAGCTATTCGCTACTAATCGACCGGTTTGTGAAGGCATAGCCATTTACATCTGTATTTATTGCGGTTATGACCACTACACCCGACGCAACATCCTCGCCTATGGAGATATTCCTGCGGCAAATAGCCATTTACTCCCGTTCAGCACACCCTCGAGAGTTATGTGCTATTACTGCCCTTACACAACAACAGCTTACTCGGACTTGGGGGTACTCAGAGCGATGTCCAAATAAAAAAAAACTCGTTTTTCTGTCAATTGTTTTTTTGTCCTTGCTGATAAAAGTAGGTGATAAAAATAGTCGCGATGTTCAAACAAAAAAATCGCTCTTCTTGTTTAATATGTTCACCTTCGTAAAAGCATATTCTGGATACTACCTTACTCGGGCAACATGCGGCCTACCCTCAAGCACCAACGACTGCTGATGAGGAACTGCAGCTGTAGCTGCAAATTGTTTTGCAGATTTTAAGGAGATCAAGAGCATTCACAGGGTGTGATTCAAGAAAATTATAAATTCTCCCATCACAAAATCAACGCAGGATCAAGCTCTCCAGCTACTCACATAAAGTGGCACCTGACAGTTGTTTTTTTTTAAAGTACGTGGAAAGTAAGATTCACAATGAGCAAAGTGGCTGCGGATCGCGTTAGTATGGCCTAGGACGATAAAGATGAAGTTGCCGTCGAGGAACTGAATCTTGTCGTGGATGCTGAAGCATATCCGCTTGGGAAGATCCAGCTCTTCGGAATATTCTTAGCCTGCAGTTGACCACGCGTACAGACTAGGGCTCCACAGACGTGGAGGCGTGATGGACACGGGTTTCGACACGGTCTTCGACCGAAACGATTGTCCTCGTTTAGCAGCATTTCAACTTGACCATATCTGCGCCCGGGACTTACACGTCGCCGTGCTTGTGTTGACCTTGGGGAAGTCCAGGTGTCGGCCATGTAGCCACATTTGGAGCATACGTAGCTTCTTCACGAGCTCGTATGTCACGGTCTACAGCTAGATGGAGGTTTCGCTATCTTGCGTATTGCATCCAGAAGGTCTACTCCCTACAGGGTCAACGGGCTACATCCTACAAGCAAGGGCAAGAGGAGCAGACGTCGGCGTTCCACGTCTAGAGTGGGACTAGGATGAAGGGAATGAGGAGGTACCTCGCTGTGGACCCCTGCGTGGGGAAGATTTGTGGACAGGTAAGGAATTTCTAGGTCGTGGGGAGACCGTAGGGGAGAGGCTCAGACGTGTTTTTCCTTCTTAAGAAAGAAGTACTCAGAATATATCAAGTTACATTTGGAATTATCGCTCAAGTTCTCGTTCCTAAGTCGGCCAGCTAGATACACCACCCAGACACTAAGGAGGAAGACCGCGACACGTAGAAGATGATAATACCTATATTTCATAGACAACGCGAGCATTAAATCACATGCTACATATCATCAGGCCACCGTTCTGATTCTGGAACGTACCTGGCTCAAGTGCTCAAGCTCCTCTGCAGTGTATCGGTGCCCTTTGTACCCTCACAGAGTCGTGTACCGAGCGCTGTCCTTCGTGGTGAAAAGGTGCTCTTTCCTCGCGTTTCTTCAAAAAAATGCGCCCCTTCACGATTTATAGGTTCCACTTGGTACGGCACCTATTTCTTTTTGCCAATTTAAGAATCGGTAAATTGGCCACCTCATTTTCCTACGGGCAACATTCACGATAAAAAATAAGTTCCAAAACTAGATCGATTCTCCATTTGGACATCTCTCTTAGTCCGTTGCTTGGACGAATCTTCATTCCATAGGAACGAGTAGCGCCGGATGCTCTACTTGGTGCACTGTATTTTACCTCGTATCCGTGTTGCTGCGCGTTTGTCCTAATAGAATTGAAATGCAGCCTGAAAGCAAATGGTCCCACGAAATAAAGCGGTTCAAGTGTTTTCGTTCTGGTTCGACCGCGTATATCGATACTGTAGTTAATTTCTCGATGTACGCTCGGTTGCAACCACATCAACACACTTCTTAACGGCAAGGGAGAGAGAGAGAGAGAGAGAGAGAGAGAGAGAGAGAGAGAGAGAGAGAGAGAGAGAGCTTATAGCAGAGAATGATACTAGTAACAAAGAAGCGAGCTGGCTACAGCAACATATACGTTAACTGATAAATGTGTGTTTTACCCGCTTTCCCTTTTCTTTTTAGGCCATGTCGACGCTTGTTAAGCGTGCTTTGGACGACATATAACATAAATAAATTACTTGCGTCTTCCGTAATTTACCAATGATGTTGCACTTGGCCGCCACAAGCAACATTTAGTGGTTTTGGGTAATTTGTGCTAGGGGAATGAGATATCAAGGTATGACAGACTTTATTAAATTAAGGATCTTACTTCCGATACGAGCAGAAATCACGTGTATCTAAGGGAAACCCCATTATATTAGGTGCTATTATCCTGCGACAATCTTATATAACAGTAGCATGAAAAGTCAACAGGAATTTTTTCAAGGTTTGAGAAACGTGAGTAATTTTGGGCTCCTGGGTATAAACTTATAGAGTTTTGGGTTAGAATGGCTCGCCTCCTAAAACTCTGGAAACTCAGGATATAAATTCCAGAGAACTGAACGTAAATATTGTCTGGACTAAAAATATAGAATTGCACCGTTGCTTTGCTCATACGGTATGAGCAAAGTAACGGTGCAATTCTATATTTTTAGTCCAGACAATATTTATGAGTTACGCATACCCAACGCCGAGATTCTGATCAAACTTGCCCAAATTTCTGCACTTTCTGGCCATGCGTACGTGTACCTCCTATATTTCTGTCTCAATTATTTACGTTTAGTTTTAACCAAACGCTGGTGGATATTTGCTTAAGACTAAGTGTAAATATATTGTAACCAGATATAAAAATAATTAAATCGTGCAGGACACACACATAGTAAAATTCACGGAGTGGGGTGTTTTCCAAACGTTTTTGTTGTGTGTGCACGGCTTAGTTCTGATCGAAGAAGCGTTTGGAACAAAAACTCCAGGAGGATTTAATTTTAACTACTTGCTGTAAAATGACACCAGTGGCAACAAGAAGACGTGAAACCACTTTTGTTAATAGTCGCTCTTAAAAGGAGCAACTTCCCTCAAGCAGACACACATGAGATGTAAGAAGAGAGATCTAAAACGGACGTCGCGATAGGCAATGCGATGGCAAACTCCACGTTCCTTCACGCTAACATCTCCGTTACAGAGCCGTCTCAAGAGGACGTGCCCAACTTCCGTGTCCCTGGCAACCTCCAGTCACTCCAGGTCCAACTGAAAAGTAAATCCTCACCCAATAGATCAAACCACTTTGCATTTTTTCTCGCAGGACTCAAGTGCGTCGTCCACGAAGAAGCAACTTCGCCATCTTCTCAACCATGCGTATCGCTACTGTGCTCGCAGTGGTATCCGCCTACGGTGCGTTCGTCGAGGCTCTTAACCAAGTCCGTCACGGTCATTCGAGGTTACACAACCTCAGCCCACCAGATAGCGAAAATCTGTCGGCGGTGGCACCGTTGTCTTTCCTCTCCGCGTACGCCTACAACCCCGACCCATATGCCACTTGTTCTTGGGGTACCAATTTGGTGTGTGAGATGGACTCTCCGCAGAACGACCTGAAGCTCGGCTCTACTTGCGATGTGGGTGTCCCCGTCCCCAAGGATAATTACGTCGGTGACGAGCGAGTGAACGAGTATGACAACGGACTTACCGCAACTGCTTATCCGTACATCGAGATCACGTCGACGGGACCGAACCCAGGGTTGACCCCGTCGACCGAAGCTTCGACAGGACAGCTTGCGTGGGATGGGTATATGGAGAACCCGGCGAAATCGCAGAACAACATCAAGTTTTCTTCTGTTGGCGTCTACGACGTGGCCATCTCCGCGAACGACTACGACCGCTTAGCTACCTGCGAGGGGTGTGTCGCAATTCGAGACACATATCGACCTCGTTTCAAGGACGGCACGTGCCCTTCTGCTCCTAGCAGTTCGCTCACACTGACATCGACCTCTGTTGCCGATGTCAGCAAGTACGAATCGGACTATGAGAACTTCGTTTCGACCAGCAACCAGCTGAACAATCCTGAAAGTGACGCTTCTTGTAACATTGAGTCGTCGAAGCTTCAGAACTTCTACGACGTCGAACCTGCCCCCTTTTCGGGCATGTGCTTTTCCTCCGGCGAGGTAAAGAACAACTTGGACAGGTTGAAGGTGAATCCATTCAACACCGTCGATATCAAAAGACCAGTTCTGGAACTCGAAAAGGATCTCAATGGTAATTGTGTGTGGTGCTGCTTTAAGTCGATTGCACTGAAGGAGAAATACACTGAGTATACGTGCCCTTCAACCGCCGTTCAGCCTGCAACGGAGTGTGTGGGCCTTCCAAGCAGCACGTGTAGCATGGATGCATGCATCAAGGCCACTGGACACGACATCGCGGAAGCGACCGTCAAACTTTCCGACGCCGTCCAGGAGGATTCAAAAAAAGTAATTCAAGAGTTGGGAAAGCCTGACAACACCGACGTTGCCAACATGATCCACTACAGTCTCCCGTGCACGTCCTACGATCAAACTGGTAACGACCCGCAGTGTCATTACATAGTCAAGCTATCCGATGTGCTCGACATCGGACCTCAATTAGGAGTCGGCCCGAAGTTTGTGACTGATCTCGCACTCAACTCGGAGATGCCATCCGACTACGTGTTCTGGCGAGTCAAAGTCGGAAGTAAAGATTGGGCAACCTGGGACCCCAAGAATGACGCTGAGTATTCGTTCAAGGCGTCGAGTACGACGGTTAATGTGGAAGCGTGGACAGCTTGTGGTCAGATTTCCTCGATCGAGATCGTCGTCAAGCTGTACCTGCACCGTACGTTGACGTGCGATAAGTTTGTGGAAATGTGGACTCCTCTGGTAACCAAAGTATATGGTGAGGATACTTACTGCAATGTGCCGGGCAGTGACTTCAGTCTCTTCAATCTGAACTATGACTACGACGTGGTTATTCCGTCTGTAGTAGGTGAGGAGTATGAGCGCTTGAAGGGAACGTACAAGAACGTCAAATGCGAGATTCGAGTGCGCGAAAGTACTGCGGCTGAAGGCTCAGTGAGTGCAGCGACACTTGTTGCGGAAACGAACCAGGAGGAGATCGACAAGAATTTTGTTGTTGAGTTGGTTCACGATCCATATACTGCCCCCAAGACTACGTTCCACGTGCAGTGCACGTTTACGCGCGAGGCGTACGGCAGCAACGGCAACTACTATGGCAATGACAATGAGAATGTGAACGGGAACGACAACACTAACACTGGCAATGAGATCAATAACGGTAATACCAACACGAACGCTGGAAACGAGAACGCAAACGGAAATGTGGTCGAGAACAGTAACGACAACACCAATGCTGGTAATGAAAATACGAGCGGCAACAACAACGACATCAACAATGGCAACACCAATACGGGCAACACGAACGGCAACGAAAACACCAACGCTGGAAATGACAACAATGCTGGTAACGCGAACGTCAACGCAGGGAATAACGGGAATGTCAACAACAATACCAACGGCAACACCAACGTTGAGAAGGACAACAACAACGCTGGTAATGGCAATGGAAACGACAACACTAACGCTAACGCTGGGAATGACAACGCTAACACGGGCGGCGAGAATACCAAGTGGACCGACAATGGCGATTTTAATGAGAATACCAACACCGGCAATGGTAACACCAACGCTGGGAATGAAAACACCAACGCAGCCAACGGCAATAGTGCGACCAACACCAACACGTCGCCAACCAATAACGGTAATGACGCCAACACCAACTCGAACACGAATAACGCCCATGAGGCGCATTCGAACACCGCCACCAACGGCAACGGGAACGGCAATGGCAACTCGAATACCGCGACCAACTCCAACACAGTGACAACAACCAGCAACAATGGCAATGGTAATGGTAACTCGAACACCGCCGCGACAAGCACTTCGAACACCGCAGCCAACTCTAACACGGCCGTGACTGGCAACGGGAACGGCAATGGCAACTCGAATACCGCGACCAATTCCAACACGGCTACAACTGGCAATGGAAATGCGAACTCCGCCACGACCAGCGGGAACGGGAATGGCAAGAAAATGGCTCTGCTGTCATTTTATGCTTCTGTGGCTGGTCCACGAGAGCAGCACACGATCACGTGCTTCCACAGTTTTACAGTTACGGATTGCGACAAGCCAAAGCTGGAGACTGGGGTAGTAGAAGAGGACGTTTGCGCCTACGACTGTGCAGACAACGATAAGCCTGGTGTGAACGAAGCCTGCGGTGGAACTATTGTTTCGTCCAACAAAGAGCAAACGTTTGTGAAGACAACAACTCAAGACACTTGCTGCGACGCCTGTGATCCTGATCTCAACTGCGTTGCCTTCGGATCAACCGATGTAAAGCGCTGTGAAGTCCCATCCGCGTATCCTAACCGTGCGGGTCTGGCTGCCGTGGAACAGACGCTGACTGCGAGCCAGACAACGGCAACGATGGCGCTACTCGGGGCTAGTGCCATGGTTGCGGTTGTGGCTCTTGTTGTCGTGAAGCGCCGATCGTCTCGCTCTCAGGAAAGTGAGGATGGATACCACCCTCTACTCGATTAAGAAATAATCTTGTTAGGCGACGGGAGCAGGATTATGGTGGTGAAGAACGATTACAATCTTCATCGTCGCCTGGTGCTGCATGTATTGATCCTGTAATACCGAATGCTGTGTTTGTTTCGAACTAGCGATACCAAACTAATACACGTTCAGTAAGATTTCGTAACAAGTCCTTTTAATGGCTCTTAAACACTAGATTTAACCCCCTGGTTCCCGACTTCGTAATATACGCCATACCAGGTTTACTATGTCGTAAGTTACGACGTAGAGGTCACAACAACAGAAAATGGCTCGGACCATACTTTATGCAAGTCATTTTGAGAAAATAAGATGGGAGAGGTAAATCAAAATTGCATCAGAAACGGGCCACGCGGAAAGGGAACGGGAAAGAGACATGTGGATAGGGAAAGGATTGGAGGCTGTTTCCGTGCCATTCCAGAATTTGCGCTATGGTGGGTCCAGTACGCGTGGGAAGACAGATACCGTTGCTGCTGTTGCCTGGGACATCGATTTCAAGCATTTGTGGAGATAATTGCGAGCGGTTGGATGGAAATCAAAGAAACCAGGCGGCTTCGAGACTCAGTGGAGTTACAAGACTCCGAATGGTGCTGAAGTATTTGCTGGAGAAGATGCGGTTGTGAGGCATGCGATAGAGTCCGGTTTGCTGGCGAATAGCGATGATGAAGAAGAGAAGACCGAAGACAACGCCAGCCCCGACAGCGAAAACGTTGAGGATAGTAATATTCGAGTATTGCAGATCGACACAAGCGCACAGCTGTCACAACACACTCTTGGCGATCTATTTGGCGCCTCGAGTGACTCAGAAGTCGAGCTGTCGTAGGCCGCAGTGCCACAGGCGTTTGGATTATTATCATCGATAGAACTCGAAGATGCCGAGTGACAGCTACATGCAGCAACAAGCCCTCATTTACTATCGGAAGCTTCTGGCATTGATAGTGATGCTGAACGAGATGGTGTTTGTGCTGAAACCTCCGGACCGATGCTTCGGCCACTCTCCAACGTCAAGCAGGACGTTAACGTTGTACCAGACGACGAAAATTTGAGCGCCTATGAAAGTCTCAGTTCCGGCCAGGGCGATAGCGCTGGCGTCGTCGACGGCGACGAAGATGCCGCCTTAGTGGTACCCCAAGCGATGATGATGTCATATCCGACGCTGACGCTCCACAGATGGACGAGGCATTCGTCGAATCCCTTCGTATAGGGCAAGATGGTGTCAACAAAAAAGCCGCGGAGGCAAGAGGTAACGCATTTCCAGCAACGAAATGGACTCCCGTGTCGTTGGAGTTTGAGGAAGCGTCGCTCCCGTACCCGGGTCTCAATGCAGAAGTGGATCTTAGCTACGCAGTATCTGTCATTCACTGCTTCTGACCCTGTTCTACTACATGGCGGAACCGCTGTGGGTGATGATAAAGGTTGAAACGAACCGGTACAATATGCAACAGTTCGAAAGGCGGGCACGCCAAGCAGCTGGAACCGAAACGAAAAACCCTCATGCAAATCTGCCAGCGTCTGAAAGCAAAAGCAGCGCACAAGACTCATTAAATCCTCCAGGTTCTAGGACTTCTCATCGCACGGATGTTATGCCCACAGAACCGCCGCTTTGCGGCACACTGGTCGATGAATGAGGACGGGGCAGTTCCTGCTGGAAAGTTCGGCCGCTTCATGGGGCGTAACCGCTTCCAAGACATCTTACGAGATCTTCACTTTGTGGACAACGAGGGTAAGCGGCCAAGAGACAAACTATGGAAACTTCGGCCTGTTGTCACCAAGCTCCAGGACCGGTTTTTGGCAGGATGGTCACTTCCGGCAGTGTTCTCGTTCGATGAAGGCGTTCTTCCTTCTCCTTCCAAGCGCAATACAACCCGGATGTTTATGCCAGACAAACTTCACCGGTACGGCACGAAGATGTTTATGACGTGTGATGGAACGACATCATATTGCCACAGGTTCTGTAGTCTTAGCTTATGTCGTAAGTTACTACTTTGATCTCCTGTCTAACATCTATGTCGTAACTTACTAGATTCGAAATGAACGCTGGAAAACGAAATGCTGGCGACACTGGCGACTCTTCATTCGACCATAAGACTGGTGCCGCGGTGGTCGTTCGTAACCTGAAGAGCGTGGTTCACGAAAATCGTCGCAATCCGTGGTGACTGATTGATTCTACTCGTGGTCCTTCTTGCGATCGAGCTTCTTGGTATGAGTGTTTACGCCTTGGGTACTATAATGACGGACAGACTTGGCTTTGACAAGAATGTCAAAGCCGCTCGGAAGACAAGGCCTGAAAGCATCCCTCGCGGAGCGTTCACATTCTCCCATTCTGTCGCTGTGTCAAGTATGGTGGTGTACCACTGGTGGGACAGTAAACCCGTGCATTACTTGTGCACGGGCTCTGTGATGTCGCCTTCGTCAATCAACAATGTGAAGCGCGTGGGACCTGTTACTGTGCCATGCCGTGTAGCTGTGACGGATTATCAGCGTTGGATGGGAGGAGTTGATGTCCACGATCAACTCCGCCTCCAGAAGTTCTCGTTGCAGACGTCCACCAAGTTCAAGAAATACTACATGAGTTTGTTCTTGGGTCTCGTCGATCTAGCGTTGGTGAACGCATACATTTCACACAAGGAAACTGCACGAATTGCGGGGACTACAGCGACAACACGTGGAGACTGGTATTGCATCCTCCAGAATCAGCTTCTACAGCTGAAACCTGAAGACTTTGATGATGTCGTGGCGACCCACGTCAAAAGCGCCAACGAGCCCCAGTGCGGCTCACCCATGAAGTGGAACAGTCTGAAGATTGGGTGACTGTCAGTGGCGAGCAAAAGAGACGTCAGAGATCCTGTAAAGTCTGCGCATTACTCAGGACCGACCGAAAGAAGAAACCTTAGGCAACAACCTTCTTCTGTGAACGCTGCTCGATGGACAACGCGAAATGTTGGCTTTGCAGTAAGATCCGGCATACCTACAGGGGTGAAGCAAATACGTACTTTGCTATATGGTATGACGATTTTGACTGCGGTCAGGCGATTCCTGCCACCTTAGGGAAAAGAGTCGTGCTGCGGCGTCCCGGGAAGAAAGTTGGACTGCGGAAGAAGACTCGCCGAGAATTACAGCTTCTCAACGGGGAAGGAGACGACGAGGGGTCCGGAAATGATAATGACAACGGCCAGCGAGTCCAAGAAAAGTTATGACATGCCATGTGTTAGATTTTGAAAGTGGTAGCTTTTGGATTGTAATGCAGTTTTCTTAGATTTGATGCACGTGTTGCTGCGTCTTTTTCCTTTTGAGTGCTGGCTCTTGCGCCCCTGTTGTCAGCCTCCAGCGCCAGTTACGACATTGAGTCAGTGATGAACACAAGAAAGGTGTATAACTTACGACTTTGCTGGGAATACTTGCAGAGATTTAATATCGCTTCCCGCAGTTTTCTATGCACATCATAAAGAACCAAATAAATAAGTACATCGTAAGTTACGCCATAAAAGTACCGTGACTTATGCGTTAGACGGCATAAATTCCGGTAACCAAGGGGTTAAAAGGTACATTAGGGGGTGTCCGACTTGAATAAAATCCAAAAATCATCACATGCCATTTCGCCTTGAGGTGTAGTAATTCCCACGGCAACTCTAGCTACTAGTGTAGGTAGGATAAACCCACAACAATACGCCTACCAGAACGGTAAGCGATCGTTTGGGCGTGATCTGAAGACCCAGACTCAGCCCTTACACCGGGACAGACTGGACCTGCAAATCGCTTATATAGGCCAACCAATAAAAATAAGAACACGCTACTAGCACGAGCAAAGCAAGTAGGTGTTATGAATCCTCGTGGTACCAACGGCGGAATGGTATCAGGCATAGGTAAGCCTTTTTACGAGGGCGCCGAGTGTTCAACACTCGACTGGAAGAATATACGGGAGACAACTCGCTCTCCCCAACACGTGCAAATAGGCACAATAAAGCCGTCACGTAAACTTCCGATATATAATCGGCCAATACACACACTCTCTTGGCCTTGTCGGATGAACCCTCGCTAGTAAGCTTCGAGTCCACCGGCAGGCATAACACACCCAAACAAGCTTATCCAGATGCTTACCTTGAAGCCGGACCTCGCTTTATGTGCTTGAGTGGAAATTCTGTTCTGTTATTTGTGGTGCCATTTCGGGCTCTTCCTAATATGCAATCCTAATCATGTATACAAATATCAAGTGAACCATGATCCGTTATGGATCGCTACACGTGCCAACAGTTACCTCAACTGTCCTTGTGCCTTCTCAGGTCTCCGCCGAGCGTTCAACTGCTAGTCGCACCCACCTAAGAGTCGCTCGAACCGTCGCCGAGTCGTAGAACCGGAGTCCGTCGGTTCTTGACCGCTGAATGTTAATCCAGCGTTAACGGGTCGAACCACCCGACTTGAGTAACATCTTGGTCATAGTAGGACCCGACGGGCGTTCGGTAGTGACGTATCCTTGGCCATTTTGTGCTGTGGTCACCACCTGTCGCGTGACCGAGCGTTCGTGGCTTGAGCAACTTGAATGTAGTCACTTCGGTGATTACTTAGAAATCACTATACCACAACTGTCCCTGTCGCAATGGAAGCCACGCCACTGGTGCCCGTTGTGACACCATCCATTTCCAAATCGTTCCCACCGTAGGACTATGTCTCGTCGGGAGCCCTGTCCCCGTGGCTCTCAACCACGCCCTACGCCGTGCGTACGACGCACTTCTTCCGCACCGTCGTCGTGACCCTGCACGCTTGGAGGTAGGTCTCACCACCCTGGCTTCCAATCTTCGTCCAGCTGCTCATCACCTCTCTCTCTTCGTCAGGAATCTCGTCCGGTCGACACCGATCGTTCGCCTGAACAGCCTTCTTCTGCAACGAGTCTTCAGTCACCGTCAGGAACTTCTTTTCCCATGGGCCATGAATCAACGGTAACCCCTGCGACGCCAACCGCCGTGGCATCTCCTGCTGCGCTTCAGGCTGGGACTCAATCTTCGGCCCTAGTTCCCGTCGCTTCTCCAGCTCATGCCGAGCCTTCGGAGGAGTTGACCGTGGATTCGCTGCGCGACCTTCTCGCTGAGCCAGCTGACGCAACGGTAGACTCCGTAAGGACTGCTCTCTTGCCGTATTTGACGCTGATGGCACGGCACCAAGTCCAGCTCAGCATCTCGCCTCCACTTCAGGGTGACATTCGCACTCAGTGTCGTTTGATTGACGCGCTCGGCTTCGACCAAGTACTAGCGGCGGTTCAACCTCTCTCCGACACGTTACCGGATCTTCCTCATGCAGTCGGTGAGCTCACCGCTCAACTGAAAATCTCCCGAGAAGAAGCTGCCGCTGCTAAGTGTCTACTGGTTCCTGTCCAGCTCCGAGTTGAGTCTCTGGAGAATCTTCTCAACAAGTCTACGGCTGAGTTGAACGGGCTTCAAGCGTAGATCAAGGGCCTCAAGTCAGCGAACGTTCGCATTGGCTCCCTTCTCGAAAAGAGTAAGGAGTCCATGGACGTTCAGACGGAGAACCTTCGGCTCGCCATGAATTATGCCGAGCAGAAGCAGGACATCATCGACGCCTTGGACAAGCAGATCGAGAAGGAACGCGAGGTCTTCAAGACGACGGTCAGTGCGAACACTGAGAATACTCGCAAGCTCCATGACCTGCTGCTCAAGGTTATACAGGGTACCTGGGTCGATGCTGACACTGCTGCGCTGATCGCTGACCTAAAAGACCGCAATTTGCACTTACTTCGTACCAACCGCGCTCTTCGAGGGTTCATTAGCTTTGCCGGCATGGATACAAACACTCTTGCTCTCGCCATCCAAGGTCAGCTTGATGCCTCGTCCAGACCCTCGTTCACTAACTCGTGTTCATTCTTTCCCATTGTAGGTATTCGAGCTGCCGAGGTCGACCTCTCAACACTCGGCCTTGACCGGTTCCTCGCTCTTCAGTGATTCCAGCAAGAGGCGGGCGACCAATAAGATCCGTTCGCCCTTGCTGAAGCTCTGACCAAGACTGCTCAACAAGTTTAGAGCAGTGCTTCCAAGCGTAGTCGTCATGGAAGTGACGATGGCAGCTCCGATGATTCATCAGAGGAGAAGACCCCAGTTCCATCTAGTCGAGGTAGCAGAGCAGGGTCGGCAGCTGATGCCGGCGAAGGATCGGTTGCGGCTGCTTCAAGCCTAACTCCCAGTCGTCGAGGTCTTCACATGCCAAAGGCTTGGAAGAACAAGCCGAAATCCAAGCGCCAGAAGACCGCCTCGCGCTCGCAAGCTTCACCTCATTCCCATTTCAGCCAGATTCCTCGCCGTTCAACATCTCGGCCACCTGCACCTTCGCCCTCAGTAGCCCATGCCAAATCGCCTGTGAGTCGCCCGAGGTCCCGTTCGCATTCAGTGTCGAGTCATCCGACTACTTCGAAGTCTTCAGCCCCTTCAACGTCCGTTCCTGCCACTCCTCCTAAGGCTGAGCCGTTGAAGGACGACCAACCTCCGGCGGTCGTGGACTTAACGCGAGATGAGAGTAACAAAGACATGGAAGAGGAAACGGATGCGGAGGTGACTCGCCAATCTTCGCTGACTCCTTCAGCAGCTCCCCAGCGCAGCAACGCGGCTTCTCCTTCGTTAAGCGCTCCTATGCCGCCGGCTGATGCCTCCCCACGAGCTCCTACCTCTTACGAGCTCGATATGCAGTTACTATTTGGATCTGACGACGATGAGGATGCTCCGAGCGGTTCAAAGGCGTCCCGTGAACCTGTGGGGCTGACGACACCTTATCGCTCTTCCTCTGACGAAGATACTCCGTCACCTCCCAAGCGTTCTGACCGCACACCAATCTCCAAACCACCATCGGTTCCGCCTTCTCGGTCTTCCCATTCTTCCGATAGCGATGAGGGTGGCACCCGCGATGCATCTCACGATGGTGATGGAGCTAGCGGAGATGATTCCCGTGACGATGAACCTTCGTGCGATTTTCCATCTGGTGATACTGCTGGTGATGAAGATATTCCGCCATCGACCGACGTTTCTCAAGCATCTGCTGCTGTCGAGGGCTCTTTTACCGGTGTTCCGACGACTTCTTCCCTGGGAACTTCCCGAAGCCCCGAGTCATCTCCTCCGGTCGCTGATTCCGCATCCCGTGAAGCCTCGGCCAGGACGCCTCAAGCTTCGTCTCCGATGCCAAGAGTTCTCACGAGTCCAACGAGTCCTCGTCGTCACCATCCGCCTCCGGGGTCCGCACTGAGCCAGACTTCACTTCTTCCTCAGGAGTCCGGTCCCGGGCGAGCAACCGTCGCTACTTACACTTCTCGCCGACGGCGTGGTGATCCAGACCCTCCAGTGCCGCTGCCGATGACTCACCAGACAGTCCACGGCATCCGGCCCGCGGTACTACCGTCAGCGAGTTTTCCTCCATGGTTCGACCGTTCCTCGATCTTGAGTTCCGTGATCAAGGAGCCGAAAAGTGTTTTGAGCAGGTCCTGAGCTCTGTGTTGCCGGACCCCACTCCAGGTGATATGACCATCCGTGTCACCCTCGAGTGGCTGAACGCATTCTTCGACTACATGAACCCAAGTCTTTAATGGCAATTCGACCGTCAGCTCCTTCCCGACGACCCATTCTTCTTCAGCATGGAAGGATTTGACCCTCTTGCACCGGTTTCCAAGCGAGCTCCACTGGAAACCCGCATCCGCCGCCTGTGGGCCAGCTTTCGTGGTAATGGTCCCATGCCAGATCTCGGCTTTGCACTTTGGGAGCGTCGGTTCTGGATCCTCGCTGCCGCTGTTGGAAACGGGTCCACGGCTGAAGAAGCGGAACCCAACTGTGACAAGGATCTCATCAAGACCAAGAGAACCAGGTTTCGAGTCTTGATGGGTGGACGGAGCTCTCGGGCAGATCGCCCCCGGAACATGTTCCAGCTGCAGTACTTGAAGTGGAGTTTGGAGTCTGCGTCGTCCTCTCAACGCTCGCTTATCTGTCTAGAGATGAACATCGAGCCATCCGTTCCTTGGTATCCAGTGGGGAATTTGCCGTTTGTTCCCGAGACAACCGACTGCCTCGCAGAGGTTCCTAAGCTGGTGGATCGATAGCCATGGCGTGCAAACTGGGTGTGCCGAGCGTTCGAACCCCCGTACAACACGACCTATGTGCCATGCAATCGCGAGGCTCCAATCTTCTGCCCCCGCGGTGTTGATTCCGCGATGGCTAACCAAATCGCTTGGGCGGTCATTGCCAACCCGTGCTTGCAGCCTCCCGAGTTAATCCCGGACTGGCAGGATCGCCATCTCGCAGGGCCGGTGCCTGGAGATTCAACTGCTGTTGCGTCACCTACAGGCAAAGGTGACGATGACTCAAAGCTCCCGCTACTCCATCGGCATCTCCTCCTGATGGAGAAGAGAAGGAGAGCGGCGGTGACATGTCTTTGGGCGTACTTGCTGAAGTTGCTCGGCGACTCTCGTCGGATTGAACACTCGGTGCTTGTCTCTTCACCTTCGGTTGCTCAATGCCGATCTCATGCGGGCACTCCCGATCATTCTCTCTTAGTAGTCGAAGTTTCACACGCTTTCATGTCTTCTTTCTTTAATCCATATTCCAAATCGTATTCACGTTCGCATAAATCATCATATGCATATACAAGTTGTTGGTGCAGTAATTCTTTTCGTCTGCTATCATAGGCTGCACCTCCCTGTGAACAGTTCATGCGTGTTCAAGCCAGCTAATCCTCGTCAGCGACTTGAACCGTCTGCTGCCGGAGTTCACTCTTCTTCGCCGGCAGGTAGTCATACAACAAGCCTCCACAAGACAAGATAGATGACGGTTCCCAAGTTGGCTCATCGTAGCCGACCCATTTGACTTTGAACTCTCGTAAGGCTCGCTCAGGGCTCGTTGACAGTGGCGTTCGGTCATCGAGGATGGCTTCGACCTCATATTCACCTGCTAGGTGATCTGGTTCCCAGCTATCTTCAGGCAACAGCTCCTCATCAAAGTCAAACCTTATATCCTCGGTTACATCTTGCGTCAACCGAGTCTTCGGTCGACTTGGATACTCGTTTACCGCTTTGTGACTTGACACGTGCACAACTGCGTAGAAGCGGTACCCGCTCTTGTCTGGCAACTCCAACTCGTACGCGAACTCTTCGATCTTTCGTTTGATCCGGCATGGTCCATGCCACCGACGTGCTAACTTCTTGGTGAGACCTGGTTTTACGCGTCCCATGTAGAGCCACACTCTGCCTCCAATCTCGAAAAGAGACCTCGGTGGACACTCTACAGCATCATTCGGGACCGCCAAAACTTCAGGGCTACCCAACGAGCGTCCATTTCCTCTTGGTCCTGGCACAGCGGTTTTCTCCAGTCGACTTAGCGCTTCGTCGTGTTCCTTGGTTCTTCGCTCCTTTTCTGCCGCTTGATAGTCCTTGGCCATAGTCATAGCAACTTCGTGTTGTCGGTTGACTTCGTGACGCCACGCTAGCGCAACGGACCGTCTATTGGACATCCAATTGATGAAGACATTGCCCGAATCGTGGATTGCGCGTCCCAGCCGTGAACGAGGTAAACGGCGTCTCCTTCCTTCTTGTGTCCTGGGAGGTGTTAATTGCAAACACCAGCTTTTTAGCGATCTGTTATCTAAAAGAAACATTGAAAAACGATAAATAACATTCATTATTGGTAAAAAAAAATTTTTTTGGTCGTTAGAGAGAGAACAAAACCGTGTTATATAGACGTAAAATTGTTGGAGTACCTAAAAGTACCAGAACAGAAAGAAAAAAATTTATCAGTAAATAAAAAGTTTCTATAAAAAATCTCAGTTTTACAGCGTTTTATTATTTTTGTGTTAATACAAAAGGCTCAATAACTGGTTTTTGACGAATTGTATCACCCAGAATTCATGCTTGTCAACCATCGGTCGATGCGACTCTTCACTGCAAGATCCAAGATCTTGATATCAGCAGCGACTCCCCGCCACAGGATGGATTTGTGTTTCCAGCTAAAGAACCTTGTCATTTTCAGATCTTCTCGATTGGAGTCAAGGCGGTGACATAGTCGAACAATGGGGCGGATCAACTTCATGTCAACATTGGTGCTTGCTTTCGTGATTTCCACTGTCAGTGGACAACAAGTTGGCACAAACTGCACGGATACCCGTATTCGTCGGTCCTGGGATACGTACAATACGACGGAGAAGGCTCTATACCTAGAAGCGGTTGGCGTTGCCATGGATTTAGGATTCCACCAAAAGTTCGTGCAAATCCACGTCGAGTTCATGTCGGAGAAACAAGCGCATCAGAACTGCATGTTCATCTACTGGCACCGGATGATGTTGCTTGGCTACGAGAACATGCTACGTAGCTTGGATCCCAAATACCGTTGCCTCACCCTCCCGTACTGGGACCATCTCTCGGCGTATGCTCGACAAGCTGCTGGCCAATGCAACTACCTACTGGGCTGTACGCCCTTCCTCACGGACTCCGGTGGTGCTATGACGGGCGTCAGCGCACGCTTGATCGTCTACAACGTGTCCATAGCAGCTTCTTACTCGACGTGCATAAATCAAGGCATTCTATCTCATTTCTGCGGCAACAACTCGGTCTGCGCTCAATGCGTCACGCGTGGATCTAAGAACTACCTGGCTAGTACTCGCTACCCTGGCGAGGCTTCCCTCGGTTCGGTATTTCAGCAAGTCTTCACTTACAATGATTCAGCCAGATTTACACAAGCAGTCGAAGGGGGTGTCCACAGTAAGTTTTGTGATGGTACAATACCAAAGCGTCTAATATCTTACTGGTGTGAAAATTTTCGTGTGTTGGTTAGATACAATCCACAGCGTTCTGAACGGTGTCATGGCGTGGTTTCAATCTCCGGTGGATCCGATATTTTACCTTCACCATTCGCTCATCGACTTATTGCAAGTAATTTATCTCAAATGCCAATTGGGTGGTACAAATGTGGTCCTCTCCGCAACAGACAAAGGCAGCGATCCACGTTGGTTCAGCACGTGTGCAAAAAGAACTACTGGTAACTATACGAGTGACGACACCATCACGATGCGTGCGAATGCAACGGATGGAACGACTCTTGTTAATGTGTGGCAAGACCCCAACAACATCCTGTACCCATTTTTCAAGGATTTACCCAATAAATACGCAGACTACGTCGATGCTAAAGATCTGGGGAACTATAGCTACAGCTATGCCATTAGTGGAGGACTAGCTAATATGTATCAAAACTGCAATAATGCTACCAAAATGGCTGCGGTTAATGGGACTATTACGACTTTATTGGCAAGCTGGGGCAGGCTACGCAACAAAGGCTCCGACCACCCTTCCCCCGTTATCGAGCCGGGAACGAGATATGACGAGAAGGTGAAGCGTTGGAATGTTGCGCTCTACGAAGCAGCTCGCATTGTTGGCTACGAAGAGAAGGCGGCCAGAGAGCAGATGGAGATGGTGTTGTGCCAGTATCAAGCTGACTGTCTTGGTGGCGTTGAAGACTACACGGACCTCTTTCGAGCCAACTTTGGTGTCCAAGGTCACACGCGCTGTTACAACGTGGTGGCCGGTTTGAAATCGGGCGATCTTGTCATTGGTATCCCTCAATGGAAAGACATCACGAACCGTTTTGTGCCATGTGCGGCGTATAAGAAGAAGACCTCCAATGCCTACGCCACATCTTTCGGAAAGGCTTTTATTACGGCTTGATGCAGCTGGAGGGCCTTTCAAGGTATAACTTGCAAGGAAGTGTTTTAGCAGCTGTAATAAGCTACTGTAAGTCATTTTTACGCTCCGTTCCATGCTTGACCTGTGCGCGGTATACCTTACTATGATCCTCTCGTATTATCTCTTGCTGATCAAGAATCGATCAGCAACGGGGACTCCGATAGCCAACAGAGTGTCGAGAAGAGATATGAGAAAATTCAGCGGGCAAACTCCAAAAACTAGGTCGTGTTGAGTGAATTGCAAATGCGTGGACAGGAAGTTGGAGTTGTAGTTTTTATTTTAAATTTGAAAACTAGTTCTATTTTGAAATTGGCACGGCAGCATCCGTCGGATTCTGTGGAATCCGTGAAGGCTTCACGGTGAAGCTGTGGACGGTTTCTGAAGTTACAGCTTGACCATAACACCAGTTCACGTTGGTGTAGATTCTATCGTGCAAAGGATATCGCCGGATTTTGACGGCCGTCCTGTCATAAGCAAACGTTTTCACTTTTTTGCATCATGTACCAGTATTTTGGCTCAGAATTCACAAGTGATGAGTAAATTGCTGGTTGAATCATTGTAAGCACCTTTAGAACGCTGACATGGTAGCGCGTAAGCACATGGTGCAACACAAACTAAGTCTTCGCTTGCAAAACGAACATGGGTGGCTACCAAGCACTTCGTGAATCTTTCGCGAAACCACCGTCTATTCAAACGACACCCGCGAGAAGACACAAGGCGCTTGATATCTTGCGCGATATCTAAAACCGGTACCACATCTCTGAAATGGTCACCTCGGCGCTCTTTTGAGGCCGCGATCTTGATCAAAGCGCCTCCCCAAGAGGACGCCGTCGTCTCTCGTCCGCACGTTCCTTCAGCTATCCGTCTCCAAGCGAATTACTCCGCATAAGCGCCGGGATGAAGTTTTTCACTTTGCAATTCTCCTTGCAAGCCTCAACCCGAAACTAAGCCGTTCGTTCACGAGAAAGTGTCCTCGGCCTCATCTCAACCATGCGTATCGCTACTGTGCTCGCAGTGGTGTCTGCCTACGGCGCGTACGTCGACGCCCTGAACCAAGAAGGTGCCGACCATCCGATGCTGCGCGACCTTAGCACGACGAACAACGAGAACCTTTCGGAGGTAGCTCCACTGTCCTTCCTCTCTGCGTACGCCTACAACCCCGACCCGTACGCCACGTGCTCGTGGGGTCCGGACGTGTGTGAGTTCAACGCGGCGAAAAACGACCTGAAGCTAGGTTCCACCTGCTCCCCGGACGTGCCGGTTCCGTCGGATAACTACGTCGGTGACAAGCGAGTGAACAAGTATGACACCGGCCTGGTTTCGACCGACTACCCGTACATCGAGATCACTTCAACCGGCCCGAACCCGGGCTTGGGCGGATCAACGGATAAGTCGACCGGACATCTTGCATGGGCTGGATACATGAAGGAGCCGACGAAATCGCAGAACAACATCAACTTCCCTGCCGTTGGTGTCTATGACTTGTCTATCGCTGCGTACGACTACGATCGCATGGCTACGTGCGACGGGTGCGTCGCCGTTCGAGATACGTTCCGACCCCGATTCAAGGACGGCACGTGTCCTTCTTCACCGGGTAACACGCTTCCACTGAAGCAGTCCTCGATCTCCAAACTCGCCAAGTACGAGTCGGATTACGGGACCTACACCGCTACTGGCAACCGACTTAACAACCCTGAAAGTGATGCTGCATGCAACGTCCAATCCTCGACGCAACAGATCTTCTACGACGATATGCCGACTGCATATTCAGGCACATGCTTCTCTTCCGATGGTGTTAAATGTAACATTGACAAGTTGAAGAACAATCCCTTCAACACCGTCGAGAACGTCAAACGACCGAATCTGGAACTCGAGAAGAGCCTCAATGACAAGTGCGTGTGGAGCTGCTCCAAGTCGATTGCGCTCAAGGAGAAGTATACAGCGTATACTTGCCCACCAGACGCTTCCCAGCCTCCAACTACCTGTGAAGGTCTCTCGAGCAGCACATGCAGCATGGACGTGAGCATCAAGGCAACCGGAAAGGACATTGCCGAAGCGACCATCAAACTGAAAGATTCAGTGCAGGAGGCTTCGAAAAAGATCATCAAAGAGTTGGAGAAACCCGACAACACCGACGTCGCCAACACGATCCACTACAGTCTCCCGTGCACGTCTTATGACGAGACCGGTACCAACGACAGGTGCCACTACAACGTCAAGCTCTCGGATGTGCTCGACATCGGACCGAAGGCTGGTGGCGGCCCGAAGTTTGTGACTGATCTCGCACTCAACTCGGAGAAGCCATCCGACTACGTGTTCTGGCGAGTCAAAGTCGGAAGTAAAGATTGGGCCACCTGGGACCCCAAGAATGACGCTGAGTATTCGTTCAAGGCGTCGAGTACGACGGTTAATGTGGAAGCGTGGACAGCTTGTGGTCAGATTTCCTCGATCGAGATCGTCGTCAAGCTGTACCTGCACCGTACGTTGACGTGCGATAAGTTTGTGGAAATGTGGACTCCTCTGGTCACCAAAGTATACGGTGAGGATACTTACTGCAACGTGCCGGACAGCGACTTCAGTCTCTTCAACCTCAACTACGACTACGACGTGGTCATCCCGCCTGTGACCGGCCAAGACTTGTTGAAGGGAACGTACAAGCACGTCAAGTGTGACATTCGAGTGCGTGAAAGCACAGCGGCTGAAGGCTCCACGAGTTCTGCTGCGCTCGTGCCACAGACGACTGAGAACAAAATCAACAAGAACTTCGCTGTTGAGCTTGTGCACGACCCCCACACTGCTCCCAAGTCAGTGTTCCGCGTTGAGTGTACGTTTTCTCGCGATTCCTACATTAATGGCAATGGCAACAATGGTAACAACGGCAACAACGGCAACAACGGCAACAACGGCAACAATGGTAACAACGGCAACAATGGTAACAACGGCAACAATGGTAACAACGGCAACGATGGTAACAATGGTAACAATGGCAACAACGGTAACAACGGTAACAACGGCAACAACGGCAACAACGGCAACAACGGCAACAACGGTAATAATGGCAACAATGGCAACAATGGCAACAATGGCAACAATGGCAACAACGGTAACAATGGCAACAATGGCAACAACGGTAACAATGGCTACGAACCGGCCGTCTACGCCGAGAATTTCATCACGTGCTTCCACAGCTTCACCATTACCGACTGTGACAAGCCACGCATCGAGCCTGGCGTTGAAGAGGAGGATGTTTGCGCGTACGACTGCGCGGACAAGGCGCAACCTGGTGCGTACGAGGCATGCGGAGGAACTGTCGTTTCATCCAAGGGGGATCAGACAATCGTGAAGAAGTCCGCGGAAGAAACGTGCTGCGCCGATTGTGACCCTGACCTCAACTGTGTTGCCTTTGGATCAACGGATGTCAAGCGCTGTGAAGTCCCGTCCGCTTATCCGTACTACTCGAGACTGGAGGCTGCCGAGCAAGCCGTGTTTGCCGGTGGAAAGACGACGGTGACGATGGCGCTACTCGGAGCAAGTGCCATGGTTGCTGTCGTGGCTCTTGTTGTCGTGAAGCGCCGTGCTTCTCGACCCCAAGAGGCCGACGATGCTTACTACCCGCTGCTCGAGTAAGAAGACGTCTAGTTAAGCAGAAACTGCTCACGAGAGCGCTGCTTCGGCTGTTTTACTTTGGGTCATTATGACATGGCGCTCCATAAGCTCAGAACTGTCCGTTTTGGTTTTAGTTGGATAGGAGTGATCAAAGCATAATGACAAATACATGTAACTTGCATTTTTTTCGCTTGTCACACCTTTAGTTTACAAGTTGTTGCACATCTGAGGCAAATGTTTTACAGACCGCACTTTTGCCTCGGATGTGCAGATGCAGTATTGTACCTGTAATATTGTACCTGTAAGATCTGATATCACTTTACTTCAAGTCCCAAGATAAGAAAAGACCAGTTGTTACTCGATGGAGACTCTACGTGGTGTCTTCCCCGCTGTGCCGACGGAGGCGCTTCTGCGCGTGGTGCGTACGGTCCACACGTGAGGAAGGAACTCTCATCATCTTCGTTAACGTGTAACATTATGTATCATTGTGCAGCTGGAGATCTGCGACCAGAGCGTAGCTGTGGCGTCCACTTGGCTCTTGGAAAACGAATGGCAAGATCTCACTGACGCTCAGGACGAGGAAGAAGAAGAGGGAGATGAACATGTAATCCTCACTTCAAATGTTACATCAAATGTAACATCTGCTACTCAGCATGCTGGACAACCTGCAACAGGCCCGTACTTCGCTCGTCGCTCAACTGCCGGGCACCAATTTCAAGAAGATATTGAGAGTGAAGATGAGGACGAAGTTGGAGACGATGATGAAGACGAAGAAGACATGTATTACGACTCGGGCGACGAAGGAGAATTTATGGTGGAGAGAATACCACCGCTTACCAAAAGGGTCAAGATCACCACCAATTTAACAGAGAAAAGTGGAGAAATCAAAGCTGACGACTTCTGGGTGGCATTTGACGGCCAAGTGGTGGTCAAAAGCATGATTGGTGGGGTTTTATATGTACTGGTTATAAGAATTATGTGTTAATTCGTTTTTTTTTTGTGGACCAGAGCTACTTAATACGACGTTAAGTAAGTTGGCGCACAGAAATGTGGTGTTACTGACTAAACCAGTGAAGGAGCTGGATAAGGTATGTTGTGTGGATTGGTCGGTAGAATGGATCCCTCTTTACATAATTTAATGTCGCGGTGACTCTGAAGGCAACAGCAACAACGAAGCTCGAGTCGATACTGGTTCCTAAAGATTCCAAAATCGTTAATGGTGAGCACTTGCAGTCTTGTCGAGATGCAGACAACCGAATTACTCTAGCAAACTTGCTGAATGGTGGAGAGAATGTGAAATCACCGATGACAACAGTGCCTGTGGTGCCTGTGGGTCAAAAGCGGAAGAGAGGAACGGCGGCGAAAGAGTCTTCGCGTTGTGGCTTCTTTGTCTGTCGATTCGTACCCGTATTTGTTATTTTTTATGTGTCTGACAGCATTATGTTTTTGTAAATACACTGTAGGCTTACTTCTTTCCAGTAAAGGAACTGGATTTGATATGGCGTAGCGTGATGCACGCACATTTATTAAAGGGTCAATTTGGGGAAAAGATTGAGTTTCACACGGCAGCAAGCGGCTCGTAAGTGTAGCGAACCATTGTGGAGGTAGCAGGCCGTGCAACGATTTTACTAACTTGCTATGAGCGTGTATATATGTAATAAGGTTCAGTAAGCGAGATTTTGACGAGCTGATGCACATCCAAAGCTCTGCACTGTCCTCTCGCGCAGCATCGTTTGGTTTCTCCCCGTTGTCAGCACTAAAGTGCTGTTTGATTCTTCCATGCAAGGCAAACGAGGATGAAATATTTCGCGTTGGGAAAAACGTTCATGCCACCTTGAAAGTTGACGGAAACTTGTATTTCCAAGACGTTGTTGACACCAGCGTTGTCGACACTCGCAGGGGTCATTTTGAGTCTCCTAACGATGATGAAAACCTAACGGAAGAGCGTTTTCGTCAGTTTGCGAGATACCGCGTCAAGGAGCAAGAGGTTTGTTAATAATGTATGTCTACAATTTTGTATGGTGAAGTAACTTGTGTGTGTGTGTGTTTGCGTTTTGTTGCAGGAGGTAAACGCAGAGCCTGCTGCATCAGGCAAAGTTGGCGTTGATCCTTATATGCCGTACCAACAACCACATACGATGAAATATTGTCTCGAGATACTAGATTCATCAAAATGGAGCCCCTGTCTTGCTGATTAAAGTGTGATTGGAACGGCAGACACAACAGGCATTTGATCACTCATAAACTTGCGTTAACCCGTTATACTGGGTAACTTTGGAAGATGACTCTGCTTAGCTCTATAAGCTGAGCGGTTATGGTCAGTTGAGGAATGAATGTATGTATGATGTTTTTTTTATCATGGTACACGTATGTGTGCATTATTCAGTCTGGCGATACTTTGAAGTAAATCAAGTATGTTACCCAAAGCGCATAGTGGCTTTCAATAAATCAACTTGTTCAAGGCGATTGGCGACACTCTGCCGACTTTTGATGACTTCAATTCTTTAAACTAGTTTCTTTCCACGACAAAAAAGCCCATTTAGTAGAACAGCAACGTCAAGGTCGTGATCTAAACTAAATACCTGGCTTGCTACAGTACGTGCACAGTGTGAACTCCGCCGATGGACTTATTACCCTTGACAACCTCGTTATAAAATTAGTTTGACGACATTCTCTGATTATAATCTTTTAAAATATCCTACAGTGTCGGTGTACTGTAAAACAAAAGTGCTGTGAGATTAGATATGGTCAACGAAAAAAAACTGTACTTCTACTTGAAGTACTATCCGTTATCCAGCACAGCTACAACCTCACCACGACGAACACAGTACGACAGGATTTCTTTTTTACTAAATAGCTCACGTAGCCCACGTAGCAAAGTGAAAAGTGAAAAGTGTACGTGCGGTTACGCAAGAGAATGGGAGTAGTTCCGAGCCGTTTGAAATGTGCCAATGTTCGTTTGGTTAGCTGCTTCGAGTTTCATGCTAAGCGACTCGCTAGCGAGAAAGTAAGTATTGTGAAGGATTACTCCTTCGCTAAGAGTTTTCGTACACAACGTATTTCTACGACGTAGTTCTACATAGCCTACAAATGATAACTAAAGATAAGCTAAGTCACATGTAGCCTATACAATACTACGATAAAAAAACACTTGCACGCACTCCAAACCTTATTTGTTACCGTTTTGAGGCCGTCACGTTCACTTGGTACAGGGTACTACAAATATTATGCATTTCATGCACGAACACTCGAGCATTATAAGCACAAAACTGCATGAAACGTCACTAAGTGGATGGTACATAATACTTTGAGGCATTTTTATCTTGGACCATGCAATCTATAAGGCCTTCACATGTCATCCTTCCTTATAGAAGCGAACTGTTACTGTGTTTGAAAATTGCACCTTCTTGCCATTGCTGACGTGCCTTATAGGTTTTACTCCCACTTTCTTGTACTCGTTTAAGTAACTGGAGAGTAACGAAGCCCAGCGTTTGTTGTCTGGGTGAACGTCAAGAGTTTCTCTGATATGCCCCAAAGGATCAGAGTTGCAACCACGAAGAAGAATAGACGCATCGCGTCAGCTGTGTGTGTGGAGACCAATTGCAGAATGAAAGAAAAGTTAAAGTGAACAACACAGCAAATCGACACCAGTGAAATTACCCGTCGCCTTTCATGGAAACAGACTGTCGACCGCACGACATCCCAGAGGATATTACGCAACAACGAAGCGCTCCAGATTCCACAACAAACTATTAACACAGGTATGTGTACAGTACAGAGGTCATAAACATCGTGTACCCTAAATCCAAATTTTGGACCTTTCGCCAGTGATGGCAATAGAAAATTCTTTCCATATAAGGTTCAAACACTTTTTTAATTCAAATTCTTTCAATGAAGCAAAACCCTTTCTAATCGAATAGAAATGCATTGGAGCAACTACAGCAGCAACGCTAATAGTAGTCTCGTTAAGGTTGAAGCTTAAATGCGTTTGCGAATCATTTTCGCACTCTTGCTTTAAGAATGGACAATTGGACCTGAAGGAAGCAAGCGCAGATGGAGGATGCACAGGTGCTGCTCCGGACGCCGGGGTCCCTGTCGATGCTGTCTTTGTTGATCCGCAAGTGCCCAACGCATTACTTGGTCGGAGGTTTGCCGCTTGCTTTTGTCCTCCTGCACGACGTACTTTGGTTTACTGAATAGAGGCCCTTTTTGTCATTTTGGGGGTCTACTTTCATCAAGTAGCATGCTTTTCGTACTTAGTAATACGGTATTTCGAACGTTTTTGAAAAAAGTTTGAAATCCAATTGAAGTTCGTTTAAACGTTCGTATTGCCATCCCTGCTTTCGCGGACCTCCGCTTGATACCGATGACCATTCTCGGTCCTGGACTTGCGTCCGAGTGCTCGCTTGCACGCGGGATCAAGTTCGGCTGTTCTTCTTCGTTGCGGAGTCAAGTGGTAATTACCGCGACGAAGAGTCTTCGGAAAGCAACGTTGTCAATCACGTCGACAATGAATAACCACAATCTGGAAAACGAGGACGGGCCATGATGAACAAAAAGGATCGTGTTACAGATTAGAAATCGTGCATGAATTCTTTACTATTTAGCAAAAGTCATGCTTCGCCCGAAGAAGCTCTGGAAATTATTCACATAAGTTTTAAAGGTTGGTAGTTAGTTTATCGGCGCATCTCCTGCGCGTACATCCGCATTCGGAGCTATGCTCCCATTGTGGATGGCGTCTATAACGCAGCTCCATTTTGATAGCCTACGGAAGATCCATACTTACTAAAGTCGACCATCGCATCTCCGTGATAAAGCAATCGCCAGTAACCTATCCATCAGTTCTATCAATCATGTGATTCTGTGGATTTTAATCCAGTCCTTATTATTTTCTAAGACCTGCTTTTCTCGGAGAACCTCTGACATACAAAATTGAATTCTTATAGGTTACCTGAAATACATGTACAGACGATCAACTCGGTAGTTATCCCTGGGCTTGTAATACTCCCTCAACAGCAATAAATTAGCGGTTCCCGTTGAAGATATTATTCCCTCTCACCCCTCAGCTGTAAAATAAGGGGTTTCAGAGTTGAGCGTGCCCTAAAAACATAACGGCTTAATTTGCCGATTAGCCAATCAAATCGATTTGCTGATATGTCGTTAGGTTGGGATATCTTGTCGACCAAATCGAGCCAAAACGACGTAAGCACCTAAGTGCAAGAGTCATTTCACGGTTTCCTCTTGGTTTTCTCCGCGAGACACGCATTTCTTCCGCGCTTCCCGGGCATTCGGCAGCGCGCATGGCGCCTAAAGCAGCCGGGAGACGGCGCCCAGTTAGCTGGGAGAAAGATGGCGTTGGTGGCGGGCCATCCAGCGTGGATATAATCCTGAAATGGATTACAGCGGAAGGAAATCTTTAGCGGTGGCGTGGGGACACCTTTGGCGGTAAAACGAAGAAGGCTTTAGCTACTGAGATTGCAGACCTCATCAAGAAGGCCGGTATCACGGGCAGAACGGACAAAGGTGCGCCATATTCGTCAGTTCATCGCTGGTTGATGTCCTCATGGTTGTTGACGTTTTCCAGGTGTTATGCAGAAGCTGAACGACATCCAGGACTCGTACAATAAAGCAGCAGATGTGGAGAGGCAGTCTGGAGAAGGCATCTTGGATGAAGATGAGGAAAGAACCTTCCATGGTAAGATTCTCCGGTCCTATAGGACTAGTGCTTTGTTTTCCTAACTGCTATTTTCTCTCTCCAGATAAACTCTTTCGTATTTGCAAGCACTGGGACGTACTGTATCCTGTCTTCCACGATCGCGCATCCGCGAAGCCGATTGCTCCTACCGGAACATGTAAACCACCGGTACGAAGTGCAATTGATACTCGGAGTGGGGTAGAAGATAGCAATGGGCACCGCGACTTGACTTCCCGTTTGGTGAGTCTCCCCCAAGTGCCAGCAAAGGCAGTGATGAGGAGGGTCACAATCACAACAGTAACGAGGTTGACACTCAGCCAGATTCGAGTACGACTCATGTGGCTCGTCGACCTGATGACAGCATCGATGTTGCTTCAGACGACTGTTCTGTAGAGACCGCTACGGGGACTTCAAGCACGTCCACAGCTCCTAAGCGCCCAGGAGATAGTGGCGCTGACACGGTGGTTAGTAGCAAGAAGAGAACGACTAAGAACACGAGCAAGAAGACTGCCAAGTCCAAGCGCGGAAAACCACTCAGCCTTGCGCAAGAGCCCCAGAAAAAACGCAAGAGATTGGATGATGTGATGTACGACTCCATCTACGAGCGCGCCCTTCTGGCTCAGAAGCGCACTTGCATTGATCTAGCTCAGGCAAAGGTGCAGTTTACGAAAGATTTGCTGGTGCTGGGGATCTACTCGACTGACGAAGTGAAGACTATGGTTTTGGCATTGCTAGATAGGTTTTCTAGCACAGTCTGCATCACGCGCAGACGTTTAATTTTGCCTTGAGTGTCCGCGCTCCTAATTAAAGCGTTGTCAAAGTTACCGTCGTCAATTAAATCGGGGAGTTCCTGTGCCATTGGGATCCATGCGTTTGGGTCATCGCATTCTGAATCTCCAAGTCTGGGAACATAAAGTAGTAAGTTATGCAGCACAACACATACCCTGATCCAAGCTATAATACGTTCGCCATCATGTTCATTTCGTAGGCGAAGACGTAGTCCTTTCTGACTGAAGAATCTCCCCTTCAGTACACCAATGCAATGCTCGTTTTAAACGCGAATTTTGCTTAGCTCCTTGTTAAACGTTGATTGTGCTTCGGTGAGATAGCCATTCCTGGGCTTCTTGAACACCGGAACGACTGTATCATCGGGTGCAAAACCTGAATCTACCAGGAGATACTGATCACCTTCAAACATTTCATCCTTATACACCTGGAGCTCACAATTGGTCATTAATCTCGCATCGTGCGAGCAGCCCGCCCATCCTGTGTAGAGATATCGTATTCGCTTTTCATCATCGCAACGACAAGTCCCGCCATACCGTAACACCCCTTTCGACTGTAGTAATCAGCACCATCACGCTCCGGTTTAGTTGCGAACGGGAACAAAGTGCCGTCTACAAATCCAATGCACTGACGAAATCCCGACTTCTCATCGATCCGAGCACTTTTTTTTTTCTCGTTCGTTGGTATCGGGCCACACAACAACTCTCGCTTCGAGGGAAACCAGTGCCGTAATGCACCTGTCAGTAAAAGCTTCGATTGAGCCTTCCGCACAGCAGAAATGACGCGCTAGTTTACTAATAGCAGCGCCATTTCCATCACAACCGAATTGATACAAAGCAACCATCAGCTGACGCCATACAGGTGTCTGAAATACGTTGGATTCATTGTAAAACACGGGGTGACTCTCGATCAACTCCACAACTTGCATAAACTGCAGCCTTGTAACTCGGAAGTCCTCCTTGAATCTAGATTCATCTAGTCGGTAAAGCCAGAACTCGAACATGTCCGGAGCACGAGGAAGGGGGTCACGTTTGTTCAGATACCGGGATCTGTCAATAGTCCAATATGCCTCGATGTAGTCCATCACCAGGTCATCTTCAACGTCTGGCGCAGAGACGTCTTCGTCATCGAATAGGCGGCGGATGTCTCGCTGATTAAAGCAGCTCGAATGCCGCGCCTTAGGCTACGCAGCGCGCGTTGGCGGCGCGAAACTTTCGGCATCCTCCCTCTTAGGTGCAATGCTTGCGTTTTGAGGGGCTTCAGAGTAAAAAGATAATTGACCAATCAACGGCCAGCAGATTTTTTGTGCCTTTCTGCCGATATGCATGGGATACTCCTACTCTGAAGCCCCTTAATGAATACATTAAATTATTTGAAGTTAAATATTCCTGTTCTGGGGTGCTTCACTCCTTCATCCTCCTTAGGGGCGACAATCCCACGACGTCTCCTCGTATGAAGCTCCAGAACAGCCCACGACACCCGTCCTCTCAGCTCATGAAGCCCTCGAGCGCATCTCCCCAGCGTCTTGAGTCATCTTGCCTGGTGACCTCGCGTAGACCACTCTATTCTCTGCCAAGAAGGGCTGGAAGCGACGCTGTATTTCACGGTACGTGACAGAAAGATCGTAGATTCTGTGAGCCCATGAATATAGCTCTGTTTGGGACAAATTAGGGATGTGAGCATTTGTACAGCAGTGATTGAGTGTTGGTGAGTGTCAGGCGGACTGGCTGGGCTAGAGGGGAGGGTATCTTGGTGTGGTGAGGCAAAACTGGCAATTGGAGAGCAAAACAGGGTGAAACGCCAGTAATGAGCTACATCAATCGTCTCCATTAGTAAATGTTGCGCACTAAAGAGATCCATTTCTGTGGTACATTCTCGAATAGAAATACCCTTAGACAGGAATAAATTGGGGGCTAACAGCACTATAGGGAGTTCTTGAGTTGATGGGCCAATGTCACGAAGTATCGACGATCAGTTTCTGTAGGGTATGTGATGCATGAAGGACTCGGGGATATCGATCGCTGGATGGGAGATTCAGGTTATCAGGAATCGGTATCCAGCAAGACGTGTCGCTTCGGTTTGAGTAAGATCGCGACTCTTACCAGAGGTCCCTGACCATTGAAAATGCATCAAAATCGTCGATGATTTCTGCATTATGTCACAATCGAATCTTCCGTCGTCGTCGTAGTCCCTTGGACCATGGCGGACACCTGTAGCCTTCTTGTGGCCGTGGTTTTCTGCACTGTAATTGTCAGTGCGTTAGATCTGGATGGGATTGAGGTTTCCACGTCGAACACAGAACTGAAGCCCGAAATCTTGTTCATGGCGGAGGACGATCCCGATCTCTTTTGCTCGTGGCAGAATGGGTTATCGTGCAATTTGGACACTGTTACAAACAACTTAAAGCTTGGAGAAGTCAATAAGTGCGACATACCTGTTCCTGATCCTCTCAAGATCTTCGATAACGACTTCCAACGCTTTGCACGCACAGTCTTATTGAAGAACCAGAAGCAACAGTACATCCAGATCACGTCCGCCAAACGAGGAACGTCTACAACTTCGTCCACCAAGCAGACTTTATGGAGTCAATATCAGGCAAACCCTGCTTTCGTGCAGAGCGAAATCAAGTTCGACGCACCGGGGCTCTACGACTTGGAAACTATCGGCATCGGATATAACCGCAAAGCGGTGTGTACCGGATGCGTCGCGATTCTGGACAAGTTTCGGCCTCGGTTTGGCTCGAGCAGCAGTTGTCCATTTACGGGAGGTATTACCAGCCCCCAGCGGCTAACTAAAACAGCATTAGCTACATTTCAGAGCTACGATACCGCTTACAGAGCGTACACAGCTGACACCAATGTCGTCAATAACCCCAATAGTGACGGTCTCTGTGGAGTTCCTGGCATCGACAAGTTCGCCAAATTCAAACTATTTTACGAGAGTGAAAAAGATTACTCGGGTGCCTGCTTCGACGATGCCGCTTTATCGACAAACATGGTAAAGCTCAAAACATCTCCGTTTTCTAACAATTTGCAGGCCCCATTTGCTACTCTAGAGACTGCACTTAACGCTCAGTGCACGTGGTGCTGCCGGAAAACCAGAAAACTCAAGGAACAGTTTACTCCTTACGATTGCTCCGCCTACAGCTCCCAGGCACCAAGTTGCGTAGGCGACACTGGGGTCCCCAGCGCGTGTTCTATCGATGTGTGTCTCCAAGCCAAAGGTGTTGATGTCGCAACAACGACGATTGGCGTTAAGAATACTATCCAAACAGCTTCGAACGCAGTGCTCAATTCACTGACCAGCAAACCGGTATCAATCGATACTACAAAGAACGTTTACTACACTATCCCGTGCACCAGCTTCGACAAAAGTAACGTGAAATGTCGCTACACTGTCAAGTTATCGGAGCTTTTGGACATCACGACGGGGTTTGTTACGTCGTTCCCGACTCCTTCTGAGGCGGTAAATAGCAAAGATTATGTCTTCTGGCGCTACAATACTGACGGCTCGACGTTCACGAAGTGGGATCCACTGGCTGATACTGCGATTTCTTTCCTAGATGCCAGCACAACTGTCGTTCTGGAGGCGTGGACAGCGTGTGGCAGGGTGAACCAGTTTACTTTCGGTGTCAACCTCTTTGTGCAGAGCGCGTTAACATGCTCCAAGTTCGACTCAATGTGGAAATTCATCGAAAAGTACGGGATTCAAGGTGGAGAGGGGGTATATTGTGCGTATGAAGGCAGTGACTTTGCTATCCTGAAATTTGATATGGCCGTCACTGACGTCGTAGGCCAAACTAACAGCGCGCTCGGAGTAAAGTGTGATATTATGGTCAAGGAAACTGGTGCAGCGGACACACAAATCGTCACGTTAGTGGACGATCAAATCTCCACTCGTATTAGCAAATATTACGGTGTTGAACTCGTAAATAATCCGACTACTGCGCAAAAAACAACCGGGGTTGTTCACTGCAAGTTCACACGAACAGTTCAATCCTACTCACGAACGGATATCAACTCGATTGATTGCCGACACTCGTTCACCATTACCGACTGCGATAAGCCAGAATTGAACTGTGAAAAGAAGGAAAATATGTGCTCTGTCAAATGCGCGGGTGACCCAGCACCGGGTATATTTGAGGCGTGTGGTGGCTCGATTGTGGCATCTTCTGCGACGAATACGTTTCTGAAGACCCCGACCGAGCCAAGTTGCTGTAACAAGTGCAACAAACCACTGGTATGCACCAGCGTCAGTACGACAGATATCAAGCGGTGTGAACCTTCGTCAAACTCGCTATTGAAACTTGAGGCAGCTACGATGACTGACTCAGAGCCGACCTTCATGAACCCTACAAACATAATGCTTCTTGTGGCGACTGTCACGCTCATAGCTGTGGTGGCTGTTAATCTCAAGCACCGGGTGAACAACATCGAACAAGGTGACTACTATCGCCTTCTTTAAGCAAAACAACAATACGAATAACTTGAAAATGTCCACGACCGTTTTTCACGAGTGTTATCGTCTGTGTACTACCAACACTGTAGCACCTGAAGAGTACCTTTGACTTAGTGAAGCAACGGGTAATAGGCATCATCAGCCGTTTGGGCCGAGAACGAAGCAACCGCGCGACGACGAACGACAACCAGCGCCACCACAGCGATCAACGCGGTGGCTCCGAGCAAAGCCGTGGCGGCAGGGTGTTCTTGCACTGTTTCCGTTAACAGCACAGCACCGTAGCTGGTACTAGGACTCGAGTAGGCACCACCGCCTCCGCTCGGTTCACACCGCATGATATCTGCGTTGGTATTCGGCAGATCCAGAAGAGCTACACACGTGACCTCCGTGTTCTCACATCCCTGGCAACATGGCTTCTCTCCAGTCTCTACGATAGTGCACTTATCATCAGCCTTCACTACAGTGCCGCCACATGCCTCATACAGTCCAGCCTCATCTTGACCAGCACACGCTTCATACTCACACACAGAGTTCGGTGTATCAAACGCTGGACCCTTACAGTCTGAAATGGAGAAGTCACGCTTGCACGTCTCGGTGGCAGACGCTCCACTGTACTTAGCGTACGTGAACACACACTCCACGTGGAAATCCGTCGCGGCTTCAGTTGTGGCTTTGTTCAGCATCGCGACAGCGAACCGGGTCACGATTTCAGGGGAGTCTTGAGTCACACTCAAGATATCAATCGGCTTACGGCCTTCCAGAGCTCCTGTGCACTCAACCTTGGACACCTTCATCCTCAATTCCTCACGAGAATACTGAAGACCAGCGTTCGGGTGGAAGTCGAACGTCAGCTCGGCAAAGTCACTACCAGGGTAGGCGCACATGCCAGAGCCGATCGGTAGTCTCGACACGGACGTCTGGTACCACATGTCGTTGAACTTTTCACACACACTCACGGGACTGTTGACGTGAAGGTGTACGTAGAAGAAGAAGCGACGGACTAGACCGCACTGCGTCCAGGCTTCGATAGTGATCTTCGTCTCCGGGTTCGCGAACGTCAGCACGTCGTCGTTATCGTACGTCACTTCTCCGTAGTTCTCTTGTTTGCCAGTCTTCCACAACTGCCAGGATTCACCGTCTGAGACGAGTTTGTACCGCCAGAAGACATAGTCTGTAGCCTGGCCAGAACTGTAAGTTGAGGCGACATTGAGCGTCTCCGTCGTCTCGATAAGCTCCGACAACTTTGCTCTGAACTCGCACTCTCCATCGGTACCACCGAAAGACGTGCAGTCCAATGAGCGATGAATTTGCGTCACTGTTTGGTACGCTTCGTCCTCCACCTGAGCCAACACAGACTCTGATTCTTTCTTGGCATCCTCAGTGATTGAGGCAGTCACCGTCGCCAAAGTATCGCCGTTCATCACTAGACACTGCTTGAAGTCACAGGTTTGATCACTGTCACCCTCGCAGTTGCGTGCGTCGTAATCTGAGCCACAACGATAGTCCGTCCACCATTCCTTAAGCGCAGTGTGCATCTTGCAGCACCTGGTGCACTGCCCAATAGACACAGGTGCATCAGTGTTATCGCAGCTATTGTCTTCTTCCAGTAGAGGGTTCGTCTTGGTCTTTGTGGACACGAGTAGATCTTCCAACACTGTATCCTTGTTGAAGCATTGATGAGCTTGGCTGCAGTCGTGCTCGGTGTAGTCCTTCTCGAAGAAATCACGGCGACTGAATGACTCAGCGTCACACCGATTGTCGACACTACATGCATCGTTCTTAGCCTTAATAGCGAAGTCGAAGTACTGGTTAACCAGACCGCTAGCCTTGTCGAGGTTATCGGGTGTTAGCTCTGCTGACTCGGTGCAATGAACGGGGTCCGCGACGTCGTCACAGAAGCTCTTGGGGCACTCAGTTGTAGCCTTCGGACGGTATTTATCAACAATGACAAGACAACCTTCACAGGTAGCACTGGAGAAATAGTCGTAGGCGCTCACCTCGAGCTTGTACTTGCCGTAGGATGTGAATTCCAAGTCGTCAATATGGGCAACTCGGTTCATCTGATACTCCTTCCACGGATACTCCGCCGAGTGCGTTCTGGTTTTATGCGCAGGAGCCACAACAGGTTGAAGGTTTGAGGCACTAGAAGACAGCCCCACGACTTCATCGAAAGTCAGTGGCAACGACCTACCAACACCGACAACACTTTCAACGTCGGACCCCTTGTACTCAGCGAATTGTTCTCGCTCTGCCGTCACTGTAATGCGCGGGTTCTGGTACCCTTCTTTCAATGTATCCCGCTTGTCGGCAACGTAGCCGTCGGTCGGGAACGGCACAGATAGGACGGAATCCGTTGCAAAGTTCTTGAAAGAGCACGTTCCTTTATCGTTCTCTACTGCGTACTTGAATTCGTTTACCTGAGCCCAGACACAGGGGCACACTTCGTCATCAACTTGTTTGCAAGTAAGTGCTCCATAGTCGTTCTCTTCAAGTACGTGGCCAGCAGGACAGTTGCAGAAGCATTGACGAACGCCATAGTCATCCAGATACGTGACCGGAACACCGCCGTCCAAGTTAGCACACTCAATAGAACGCGTGACCGTGAACGGGTTGTACATGAACAGATCCACCACTTCTGGCAGGTCGATACAGTTCTCGAAAGTTCCTTCACAATTGGTACCGCTCTTGCAGATATGGAAGTTAAAAGTCTTGGACACTTGGACACTAGTCTCATATTGCATCACCTCACCGTAAGATTTCTCTCCGGTCACGAAGGAGATGACAGCGATAGGCTTCACATCGAGTTTGACATCGTCATCAGCCAGGTCGACGACGTTACCGAGTCCTGGAAACGCTTCAAGGCGTTTGAGGTCTGTCGGCATAACGTTGTTAGTTAGCAGAACTGGTGGTTCAGTCGTATGCGGTTCGGCCGTGTCTGGTTCAGCCATGTCCGGTTTAGCCGTGTCTGGTGCAGTCGTTTCCGGAGCATTCGATGGTGCCGCACCACCTTGATTTTCCATGGCCTTGTCCTCGAGACCCTTTTTGGTCTTCTCACTGTGTTCTTCACAAGCCCCTGGCACCATGGTCGACTGGAACGTGATCTTGAGGTCCTCTGCATAGGCAATTGTAGTGATCCCGGCCTTCACTTGGTTCACCCACTCCTCCACAGTACTTAAAGCGGTATCATCGAGACACTTGGAGAAGGCTAAAACCACAGTGATCTCTTGGTTGTTGTCAATAGCCATTGATTCCGTGCAACCGATGCGACCATCGGGGCCTAGGATTCCCGAGTAATGGTCATTGTTCGTCAAGGCGTCTTGAGAAATGAGGGTGTTATTTGGAAGATCGAACGGCAGCAAAGCAAAGGAGACACTACGCTCCTTGTTTACAGCCAACAGTGTCTCCTTGAGACCTAACGAGGTTCTCATGGACAAAACCTGAAGCGGCAGTTGGATAGCTCCCGCCGCGAGCAGTCCAAACAACTTCATCGCGAACGGATTGAAACGATTTTATCAGGGACACTTGATCACTTTGTCTCGAATTTAAAAGTGACAGATAGTACGGACGAGAACGAGACTTCTTCATGGTCGTTGCAGAGGCCATTTACCAAAGGTCTCTTTTCAAAGCGTTCGTTTTGGATCGCGTTGTCACCAGTCGGGAGGTTTCCAGACGTCGTTGCGAGGTAGATTCGAGCGTTTCCGCAATGGCAATTTCGTAATGAATAAAACAATGTGATTCTCTTCTTTGCTTTACTCAAGAAAACAATGCTCCTAGTGTCCATACGAACAATAAAAATGTTCTCCATTACAATCAAGTTTTTCATTCATTTGTCAGCGAGGTACATTCCAATCGAGCTTAACGATTTCCTCTATGTTTGAGGCAGACGTCTCTTGACCGTCTACCCTCTCTAAGCACCAAATTTGACGCGCACTTTGAGTTCTCTTAAGACCTTACACCAGGCCGGAAGTCGAGGCCTCCTCAGACAATCAAGTATTTCCAAACATGTGCATTCAAATTTGATATCTCGCTTATCACTGTGTTCATTGGGATGATAGCGCAGCAAAGCGAGGAAGCAAAACAAATCGACCCAAATTCCCAATAGCGTATGCCTGAAAACAGTCAAGTCTAGTGAAGCAGCGGATAATAGGCATCGTCGACTGTTTGAGCCGAATGTGCAGCAACTGTCCGGCGTCGAACGACAACCAGCGCCACCACAGCGATCAACGCGGTGGCTCCGAGCAAAGCCGTGGCGGCAGGGTGTTCTTGCACTGTTTCCGTTAACAGCACAGCACCGTAGCTGGTACTAGGACTCGAGTAGGCACCACCGCCTCCGCTCGGTTCACACCGCATGATATCTGCGTTGGTATTCGGCAGATCCAGAAGAGCTACACACGTGACCTCCGTGTTCTCACATCCCTGGCAACATGGCTTCTCTCCAGTCTCTACGATAGTGCACTTATCATCAGCCTTCACTACAGTGCCGCCACATGCCTCATACAGTCCAGCCTCATCTTGACCAGCACACGCTTCATACTCACACACAGAGTTCGGTGTATCAAACGCTGGACCCTTACAGTCTGAAATGGAGAAGTCACGCTTGCACGTCTCGGTGGCAGACGCTCCACTGTACTTAGCGTACGTGAACACACACTCCACGTGGAAATCCGTCGCGGCTTCAGTTGTGGCTTTGTTCAGCATCGCGACAGCGAACCGGGTCACGATTTCAGGGGAGTCTTGAGTCACACTCAAGATATCAATCGGCTTACGGCCTTCCAGAGCTCCTGTGCACTCAACCTTGGACACCTTCATCCTCAATTCCTCACGAGAATACTGAAGACCAGCGTTCGGGTGGAAGTCGAACGTCAGCTCGGCAAAGTCACTACCAGGGTAGGCGCACATGCCAGAGCCGATCGGTAGTCTCGACACGGACGTCTGGTACCACATGTCGTTGAACTTTTCACACACACTCACGGGACTGTTGACGTGAAGGTGTACGTAGAAGAAGAAGCGACGGACTAGACCGCACTGCGTCCAGGCTTCGATAGTGATCTTCGTCTCCGGGTTCGCGAACGTCAGCACGTCGTCGTTATCGTACGTCACTTCTCCGTAGTTCTCTTGTTTGCCAGTCTTCCACAACTGCCAGGATTCACCGTCTGAGACGAGTTTGTACCGCCAGAAGACATAGTCTGTAGCCTGGCCAGAACTGTAAGTTGAGGCGACATTGAGCGTCTCCGTCGTCTCGATAAGCTCCGACAACTTTGCTCTGAACTCGCACTCTCCATCGGTACCACCGAAAGACGTGCAGTCCAATGAGCGATGAATTTGCGTCACTGTTTGGTACGCTTCGTCCTCCACCTGAGCCAACACAGACTCTGATTCTTTCTTGGCATCCTCAGTGATTGAGGCAGTCACCGTCGCCAAAGTATCGCCGTTCATCACTAGACACTGCTTGAAGTCACAGGTTTGATCACTGTCACCCTCGCAGTTGCGTGCGTCGTAATCTGAGCCACAACGATAGTCCGTCCACCATTCCTTAAGCGCAGTGTGCATCTTGCAGCACCTGGTGCACTGCCCAATAGACACAGGTGCATCAGTGTTATCGCAGCTATTGTCTTCTTCCAGTAGAGGGTTCGTCTTGGTCTTTGTGGACACGAGTAGATCTTCCAACACTGTATCCTTGTTGAAGCATTGATGAGCTTGGCTGCAGTCGTGCTCGGTGTAGTCCTTCTCGAAGAAATCACGGCGACTGAATGACTCAGAGTCACACCGATTGTCGACACTACATGCATCGTTCTTAGCCTTAATAGCGAAGTCGAAGTACTGGTTAACAAGACCATCAGCCTTCTCTAAATTGTCGGTTGTTAATTGTGCTGAATCCGTGCATTGAGCTGAATCAGCCGTGTCGCAGAAGCTCTTAGGACACGTTGTAGTGGCTTTCGGTCGGTTGTAGTCCACGATAACCAGACAACCTTCACAAGTAGCACTGGAGAAGTAGTCGTACGCGCTCACTTTAAGGTGATACTTCCCGTAGGATGTAAACTCCAAGTCATTAATATGGGCCTCACGGTTCATCTGGTAGTCTTTCCAGGTGACCACTTCATGGTGCGTAGTCGTGTCATGTCCAGCCGCCACCACTGGAGAAAAGCTCGACGCTTTCGGGTAGAGTCCTACCACTTCTTGGAAAGTTAGTGGGTACGACGCCCCCACTCCCACAGCTCCACGAATGTCACGTCCCTTGTATTCCGCGTCTTGTTCACGCTCTACCGTTAAAGTAATACGTGGGTCTTTGTATCCTTCCGACAAAGTATCACGCTTATCGGCAACGTAACCATCCGTCGGGAACGGAACAGGTAGTCCCCACTTTGTAGCCACCTCTTTAAAAGAACATACCGGTTCATCCGTAGTAACCTTGTGTTTGAAGCCATTGCACTCGGCCCAGACACACGGACAAGTGTCTTCCACTACCTTCTTACACGCAGCATGGCCGTACTCGTTCTCTCCGATCTCGTAGCCGGCAGGACAGTTGCAGAAGCATTGACGAGCGCCATAGTCATCCAAGTACGTGACTGGAACACCGTCGTCCAAGTCAGCGCATTGCAAGGACCGCGTGACCGTGAACGGGTTGTACATGAACAGATCTACCACTTCTGGCAGGTCGATGAAGTTGTTAAATGTGCCGCCACAGTTGGCTCCACTCTTGCAGATATGGAAGTTAAAAGTCTTGGGCACGTGTGCACTCGCCTCAAACTGCACCACTTCGCCGTAAGATTTCTCACCAGTCACGAAGGAGATGACAGCTATCGGTTTGACGGAAAGTTTCACGTCGTCGTTGGCCAAGTTGACAATGTTTCCTAGTGTAGGGAATGCTTCCAGTCGCTCCAAGTCGCTTGGAAGTACACCATCAGCTAGTAGCTTTGGTGCACCCCCTTGGTTTACCATGTGTGGGTCTTCGAGACCCTGTTTTGTCTTTTCACTGCGTTCTTCGCATGCACCGGGTACCATTGTGGATTGGAACGTGATCTTGAGATTGTCCACATAGGCGATGTTAGCGATCGTGGCCTTGACTTGGTTTACCCATTGGCCAACGACGTCTAAAGCCGAGTCGTTTAGGCACTTCGAGAAGGCCAACACGACTGAAACCTCGCCGTTGTCTTCAAACTTGCTCGCTTCCGTGCACCCGATGTGCCCGTAGTCGTTCGTATTGAGGTTCTTTATGGCCGAGGTGGCCATCCCCTCGGAAATGAGGGTGCTGCTTGGAAGATCGTAGGGCAGTGATGCGAAGGAGACAGTGTGTTGTCTGTTCTCAGCAAGCAACGATTCCTTGAGGCCCAACGACGCACTACTGGCCAGAGCCCCGATTGGTAGCCCCGCAGCGAGCAGCCAGAGTAACTTCATGGTGAGTCGAACAGAATTGGGTCTTGATGGTGGTGGGTGTGGTCAAGTAGAGGCAAATCCGAGAATGGAAAGGAAGGTATGATTCACAGAAGGCAAGGTCTCCTTGAGCGGGCCTTCCTGGCCGTTCATTGCTGGAAGATATCGTCTGGAGAGTCGCGGATCTTTGGATTTTGACTAGCATAACTGTCACTTTGATTAGCATTTGGATTGGCATGAGGAGTCGCTCATTTGGGTGCTACCCGAGATCTCTTTCTATGATTTGCTACAGTCTCCATGGACTTTCCGCTGCATTGAATTTTCAAAGAGTGTGCTCAGTGCAGTTGTGCGTGCCTGCCACCAACTAGATCGTCTGCGACTTACGCTGGGAATTTTTATATTTTTTTCCTTGCTGTATTTTTGTGCAATCCGGAAAAGGTTGTTCCGCATTGTTCCGGCGGGAGAGCATACAGTAATTCACAATTGGTAGGAGAGGTTGGGAAAATATCAATAAATAATTTTTGTATAGTTGTACTGAATAATGTATGTCTGTCTTTCGTCCAGTATTCTCTCAAATATTGCGGTAAAAAGCAATTCAAATACGTAGGCTACCGGTAATAGTACAGATGTAAGTCAAACCCTAAAATGTTCTTATACATTTATTGCAATAATGAATCAAAAACTATAGTTGATTATGTATCAATTTTGCAATAACATACCTAAAAGAAGGTGTGAGGTACATTGACGTCATTTAGCGCAAACTAACGAGGATCCTATAAAAGCAAGGTGCAAGTTGCTACTCGAACTGCTGGGCGTCAATAATAACATTTCTTGCTCTCTACATACTTAACTGTGCTCTTCCAATAACGACATCAAGATAACACACTTCGTTGGCTGGGATAGGTGTCTGAACCTTGTTTCTCACATGCAACTAACTTTTTTCGGATACCGCTCATGACAACACTGCAACCTGAAGCGCCAGAAAATACTGTAACAATCTATCTGCTACTAGTATCAATTCTACATGACCTAAAATTGTAGTTGCTTTCAAGCATAGTGAAGATGCGATATGGTTGAATAATACCGGTATTAATGGCATCTACGACGAGGAAGCAACAAGGTAAACGTGCTAGGCGGAGGAGGCCCTACATACCTCTTAATTATTAGAAAAAAGTCATAAGCTTACCCCCCCCCCCCCCCAAACTAACGCATCTACTGCACTTGCTTTGCAGCTACAGTATCTGCTCTGTGGTCGCGTAGGAGCCAATTCAATTCGATCAAAGGACCCGTGGTAGCATTTTCCTTGAGAAGTTGTCACGCGCATATATTTGCCTTTCAGAGTCTCCTATCATAGAACGCTGAACAGTAAATATGAACCTGTAGGCATGGGGAATTTGCTAGGTAAAACTGAGTTTGAGAAAAATTTGTGCATCTAAAGTGGGCTAGTAAAAACTTCTTCTATCGAGTATGACTCATAATTAATTAGGCTCGTGTAATCAAGTAATTCTCCATCTTGATGTCAGCTACAAAACTAAGTGGTTTGCCTCCTCTTGTCACTAGAAAGCTATCACTCAAGGAAAATGTTTCGCTTTGGTCGTACCAGAATTTTGCACTGGTATACCGATAGTGCCAATCCCACAACATTAAATTACCGGACTTCAAGGGCCACTTAGGGTGTACTCACCGGTCGGATTGCCGATATTTTCCGAGATCTTCAATAATTGGCATACAATCTTGTAGTAATTCAGCAGTGGCCTCTGCCCCGTGAGCAGTGCGAGGTCATCGGTGCCTTCTTCGCCGCTAAAGCAAACGTAGGCATGGTGTGTGAGTCTAAATCTCCGCACTAGACTCCGACCTTCTGTGTTCGAAATCCCGATTCCGGCACAGACACCGATCCCGCGCTATTAAACAATATGTCCGGTTATACGCTATACAGCGCACTGGATCTGGTTGATGGATACTACTAGATCCTAGTGCGTGAATCCGACATCCCACTCACGGCTGTGAGTATGCGGAGTGGTATGCTCTGGTAAAGGCTGATTATGCCTCACGGCCTCTTGAATGCCCCGACGTTCAACCGCTTGACCATACAGTTGTTTAGACCGTTGTGTTCGTTTTCCCAGGCGTACGTTGACAACATATTCGTCGACAGCCATGCTGAGGATGGACAGATGGTCATGGAGGTGCACTTGAAGCACCTTCATCACGTGTTTGAGGTAATGCAAGCTAACAAGCTTGTGCCAACATTGGCTAGTGCGGCTTTGCGGTTGAAGAGATCAAGGTCCTTGGCTGTTTCGGCAGACGCCGTGGGGTCCGTGCAGATACCGAAAAGGTCATAGCGGCCTGGCCCACGCCACGGCTTAAAAAGAACCTTCGCAAGTGGCTTGGGCTTGCTAACTATCTGCACAAATACAGTGCTGGGTATACCAGTCTTGCCAGATCCCCGTCCGGACATCGGAAGAAGGGCCGAGTGGTGCTGAGAACAACATCACCAGGATGTTCGACAGCTTCAAGGCGGGTTTACATCGTACACCAGCCCTGGCACTGTCGGACAAAACAAAGTCATTTAGCGTCGTGTGCGACGCCTCTGACTATGCGATAGGCTGTGCGCTCTTGGAGTCTTATGTTGACAGTAGCGGATGCGTCGTCTCGTTCAGTCCAGGCAGCATAAATCTGCCGAACGGAACTGCCCCGTTTACGACAAGGAGCTACTTGCCCTGAAGAATTCCCTTGTAAAATTCCGGGTGCACCTTATTGGCTGTGGTCTACACCGACCACGCATCGCTACGGACAGTCATTCACAGGCCGCACTTGTCACAACGCATGCCGCGGTGGTTTTACTTCTTCGCGGAGTACAACTTCAGTGTCGAATACAAGCCAGCACGCTTAGCGTTCTTGACGATGCACTGTCGCGCCAGTCCGACTACGATCTTGCTCAAAATAGCCGGGTCACGGCAGTTCTTTTTGATAGCGTCCGTCAGCGTACCATGCGGACGCCAGTTTGGGCTTGCTTGTGCGTATCTTGCCACCGGCAAGGACGTCAAGTACGAGTGGATTACTTCTCGCCAGCGGTCTCGGCTCCACCGCTACGTGTGGACTGACGGCCCGCTCCAGTATCGGGTGGAGTCTGAGGATGTCTCTCGTGTCGTTGCCCCTTGGGGCACACGACGCGCCATCTTGTGGCCACCTTAACCGTGAGAAGACCTTCTATTCAGTCTCTCAGACGTTTTGGTGGCCTCACATGTACAAGTGGGTAGCCAAGTACGTCAAGACGTCTGTGACCTGTCAACGTGTCAAGCCTCTCGGTCACGCTTTGACTCCGTTATAGAGCCTGCTCGTTTCAGCGGAAGTCAGTGGGCCTTGACTTTGTCTTCGGGATACCCGCGGATGCCAACGGTAACACCAGCATCTTGGTGTTTGCGTGTCGCCTGTCCATGATATAATCACCGCGCTCCTGTTGCAGCCTCTCTTACGGGAGAATAGCCGCAAGGTGTTTCCTGGACAGCGTTTTCCGCCATGACGAACTTCCCGAGACCATTGTCTCTGATCGAGACCCGCGATTCACCGCCTCTTGGGAACACGGATGCCTTTATCTACAACAGACCACCTTCAGACGGACGGTCAGACGGAGCTTGTTAACCGCGGCCTCGAAGACATGCTGCGCAGTGTCAGCGCTGAGGTCCCCAGTCGTGGGCCGAGCGCTTACCAATGGTTGAATTTGCTCTCAATAATGCGGTCTAGACATCGACGGGGTTTGCCCCTTTCTTCTTGAACGGGCTGCTTCACCCTCATGTGCCGCTCATTATACGCGGAGCCACCGAGGCTTCGGTGGTAAGTGGGGGGGGAGACGCTTGAAAAACACTTTCCTCCCAGGTCTCCGGCGTGAGACCAGCAGCATTGTGCAGCCAAGGGCCAGTGGTTGTCGACAACAGGCTAAATATTATTAGCCGGGTTAGGGATGCAATGGTACTTGCCCAAGATTACCAAAATGGTTACTCTGACCAAAAGGAAGAGGAAACTAAAATTTGTTTAGTGTGAGAGGTCTAGTCCACTCGACATCAGAAACCTACCACTAGACACCGTCAGCTCGATGGGGAGCAACACTTTAAAGCACCGCTTCATCGGACCCTTCGCAGTTCTGAGCAGGCATGGCTCGGCGTACACAATCAACCTACCTAAGTCGATGACGACCTACCCAACATATTACGCGGGCCGTCTGAAGCCGTATCGTGACCCCCAGAGTCAGGTTGTTCCAAAGGAAGCGGTGGAAGCCACGAGGATACCCAGACATCTCCTCAAAGCGAGACTAAGTTGTCGGGTGCTCCGAAGGAGGGGTCTGCCCGTGGGAAACGGGAGACGGTCCTGCTGGTCGTACTGCATCGGCTGGTACATTGGCGCCCTATACGCAGAGCCTCCGTACGACCTGTACGAGTAGAAGGCCACACACGGTTGTCTCCCGGTATGCCTGGACCTCACCGCGAAGGTATTCGATGTCGCAGGGGAGGTCTCCAAGATCGCCCATTCGAGCAGCCATGTCCACACGAACGCCCTCCAGCGCGCGAGGTTTATCTGTCTGCGTGGCAGCCTGGTCACCAGGTCCCAGACTTAGTGTGATCTCAAGGACGTGCACACGATCACGAAGACCACGGTTTTCCTAACCGGTGCCTCCGCTACGAATTGTTTCTCTGCCTGCCGCCATGTCCAATGCAATTGCTGTCGTACAGCCGCCTTCCTAGTCGGCACCAGCTCGAGAACAACAACAAAACGAACGCCCTTATGTTTAAGGGAAATCCCTTGGGGACTCTACCAAGTCCGTCAGTCCGCAGGTAACGTTCCGAGCGTAATGATTTGGTAGGTAGCAGAAGTATGACTATCGGGTTCAATATCGTCTCACAGATTTGCATCGAGCCAAAACAGCAGCAGAGGCTGTCTCCAGAGCTTCTATGGCCATTACCAATACGTTAATACGGCGTCGGAGGGCGGCACATCGAGCATTGCGTTTGTTCGCAGCGTTCTCAGGTTTTTGTTTTGCAGCCAAGCTTCTGATGTTTCCTACTTGGTAGCAATAGATTCATTTGCAAACCAGAAAAATAGCGCTATATCTTTAGTTGTCGCGGATACCACGCAACAGAAGTACATTGATTTTTTTCCTTGACGGCGCTTGTTGCTCTTCCATCAAGTAATATGCACCCGTTATTGTACAATGCGGAGATTTCCATGCTCCAGGATTTGCCGGACCTTGTCTAATAGAGCTCACTATAGTGGGGAGCAACTACCGGTTCCACCACGTCTTGCCCTGTAGACTAGTATACAAAACAAAATAAAACGGTGGGGTCACTGTTATCACTGATCACGGTCAGCAACAACATGCAGCATTCTCAATATTTGTCCAGACAATGATACCGCAACAGAGTTCTAGGGTCCACCTCCAACAGCATGTTATACTTGCTGCTGTAGCTGGCCCTTAACACTGTCAAGAAAGCTGATGCAGAGTGGGCTTTGTGAATCTGACTTATATGGTGTCAGAACTTGCAGAAAAATTGGCAGGAGTTCTTGAGATGTCGCAGCAAGAATGAGACGGTGAGCGTCTCTTGAAGAGTGCGATGGTGAGCATTCGAGTACACAATATGGACGCACAGTTAGGAAACGCTTACAGAGGAAAATGCATGTTGCACATGCCAAACAGGCTTACGTAACAACTAAATACAATCAGGCTTCAATCCTCCACGCTGAGTACATATCCTGGGCATTACCAGTGCTGCTGCATAGCGCACAGTACCCAACATATGGGCATGCTTTAGCAGCAAGCAAGCACCGCGTTCAGTGGACCCGATCTTGCGCTAAAACAGCGCCTACTAGACACTGGGTTTTCGCGTACTGTTAGGTCATTCCTAGTGTCTGCAGCGTCAATGGAGATTACGAGGTCACGAGGCGGATTTATTTGATCCCCTTTATAGTGCGTGAGCTTCTAAATTCATGTTGATGCTTGTTGTTTTTTGTAATTGCTAGGCGCGTCCTTGGTTGTGCTCAGAGCACTAACTAAGATCATATTTCATTGACGCTTAGTAAGCTTGTGTATGGATAGGTGGAGTAACTTTTAGAGTACTATTAGAACTGCTGCTGTGAGTGAAGAAAGGACTGACTCCTCCTCATTATGTTGGATACTGTATATGTGGACTGACATATGGACGAAAGTTGCAAGTGGCGAGGTAGATAACCAGTACGAAAACACTTCACTAATAAAATGAAAGGATTGGCATAAATAAAGGAAAATGATTCTGTGATTAGTTATAAAGAAGCACATCTGCAAAATCCGGCTAACAGCCATCACTCCGCTACATGTTTAGACTCTTGCTGTGTGAGCGATTCGCTTCCAACCTTTGTCCAGCTAGCTGGATCAGGTGCTCGTAAATTCTATGCAACAGTCTAATTTGCAGCATTCCATCAACCTTACTTATTTTCGCGGATGGAATCCTTCCGTCAACATTGAATACTGCGGTCTCCTGCTTGTTCAAGGTTGTCCTTGCTTGCAACCAAAACCCAGCTCCCTTATAATGTCAATGTTCAGTTCTACTTGGTGAAAGTTACTAGGAGCGTTCAAGTATTGCCGTAGTGCATACAACTCAGAACTTACCGGAATCTCTCGATATCTACGTCTTAATTGGGACCTTGCGCTGCGTATCTCTGTCCGTCGAGACGGGCTATCATGTAGATTGATTACAGTTGCTACACAGCTTGCAAAGAAAGCACTTAAAGTTTCAGCTGTTTCCTCAGGTCTATCGTTGGATATATTAGAGGTCTTTAGCAAACTTGTTCTTTTTCCACATATCGATCGTATGTTCGAGTGAGTTGGAAATATGTTTGGGTGGTTTTTAGCAGAAAATACTGTTTTCGGTTCAAAACATATGAACTCAAGCTAATAATAGCGACTTGGTTTGCAACGATTTACCACTGTGTATTTGGAAGAAGAACACAGGCCACCGACACGTGATCTACCATCATGGTATTTTGGTTCGCACCAACGCAGGACCGTGAAATGATGCGTGCACTAATCCGCTTGAAGTTATTTGCCGCTGAACGAGGAACGACACTAGACCAGAGCGTCTACACCATGGCGACAAGGTAGAGAAAAAGCTGTCTAAAAAGAGAAAAGAAGCCGACCTAGCGCAATTCGTAATAGATATTGTATCAGAGAGCAATCGGCGTCGAGCTCACCGTCAGATCGATGAGTCGGACAGCGACGACAGTCACTTGAGTGGGGAAGGAAGTAGCATTTCAGCTACAGAACGTGCGGTTTCCTCGTCGGCACTACGGTCTCGTAATGTTTAGTTGTCGTACCGCAAAAACCTGCTGTTGTGTCTGGTTTCGATGTTTCCGATCGAAATCTCATGTGGTGGGTTTGGCCATATGGTCAATCCGAAATAATCGTTTTTTCGACTAATGCCGCGGGAAGCTCTGGATATTTTTTGCCTTAAAATAAAATAA